ACTATAGCACTTGATGGGAACATCTGAAGCAGAATGTTAATGTAGCTGTTAACTTAAAACACTATAATATTGCTGTTTAACATAGCTGATGGCAGTGTTAAGTTAAAGAAAAGTAAACACGGTAGCAGATGGTAAAAGTGCAAGACCGAAAAGCTAAAATTGCCATTCATCCCTCTGACAATGCTTGATTTTTAATTAGAAAATGTTTTTTTGTGTCAAGAGCATCAACGTTTTTTTAACAGAATTTCATAACCAAACGGCTGTTTTTCAGTTGGCTTCCCAAAATCCTCCGAAGCAGTTATTTCTGTTCTCATCCTAAATGCTGCATCAGACAAGTAGATCATGCAGTATAAAATAATCTGTAAAGTTATTTTCAAAGATAGGCTATATCTCCCTGTTGTTTTTTTCATGTACAGTGCCCCTGGCTTCTTAAATACAAAATCCCATTACAGTGTAATTTTTTCATTGCCTGCCTCATTTACCAGCTTTGTCTACATACTGTATGTTTCTCTGGGTGGAAACCATGTTTGTATTACTTTTACCTTTTTCAAAGGCAGAAAAAAGGAACAGAACAGTATAGCACAACAGCATCCCAGTCCCATGTTATTAATGGTCCCCTTTACAAGTTTCATCCCCAAAGAACCCCTAAGCAAGAATGATACAGTATGACAGAAGTGTTGGGAAGAAAGGATTTGACTGCTTCAGCTACAGTACACCACTCCAAGCCTCCAATATCCCTACTATCCCCATGGATCTGAGCAGTAGAAGACTCTGTGTAAATGATAGCAAAGCAGGAGAGGTTCAGTGATCCTTGAGTGGAAAATGTGGAGGCTCCCATCAAGAACCATCATATACTGTAGCTGAGATAAGACACTCCAAGCAAAGTATTTTTGCTACTTCTGTGCAAAGCCTGTAAGAGAAATTAATACACAAATTAAGCCCTTTGTTTTACCTCTAAAAAACAACAGATTATGCTTTGTGTGTAGATAACCTAGCCTGCCATTAAATATATATTTGTAAGTCCAAAATCTATAGTTCATGTGTTGGCTGCAAAGCAGTAAGTAAAGGCTAATTCCATACTGAAAAAAGAAAAAGAAAAACACATTGTTTCGGCTGTTTAGCTGTATTGACAGCCAAAAGATTGTTTTTTTTTCTTTCTGCTTTTCAGCGTGGAATTAACCTTTACTTGTTCCAAAATCTACAGTGTTTTATTTACTACTATAAATTTCATCTGGACATCTATATGGGGAGTCCAGACTTTCTTTAAAAGGATGCCAAGCTAAAGGAGTGTCAGTATTAAAGAGTGCTCAAAAAAATGAAAGAGTACAAATAAAAAGTCCCACACTGCAGAATCGAGAATTTAATGCCCAGTTTCTGCCTTTCCCTTGTACATTTAAAATTCTAGTATGTAGTCTATCCAAATACCCTAAAGGTGGAAAAAGAGAAGCAATAGAAATGAAAAAATTCAAGTGAGGAAGTAAATTCATTTTTGCTATGGAGACATAATTCTAAAGAGATTTGGGAAAATGTCTTTTCAAGTCTGTGTCCTGTATAGAAAATATTCTTAAAACTGTTTACTGTTATTGCATATGGAGTTGAATAAATCTCAAGTCCCAAGGTACAGTACCTGAAGTGTTTAACCAGCAGCAAAATCAAAAGATAGCTTGAGCTAATAGTTCCAGAGAGAAGGCAAATAGAGTCAGGAGTGGTCATCCCTGGCAAGTACCTCTAGAGACAGCAATCTGGAAATAATAATATAATGTTATGTATGAGTAGTTTTCAAGAAACTCAAAATGCTGTGTAATAGCAGACCCATCGTACTTAAAACAAGTAAAGAGAAAAAGAGAGCATAAGTAATACTAGTCAAACAAAGAGTAAAAATAGAGTAAGAAATAACCCATGCAAAATTTAAAAATGTTAAACAGTGTTAAAAAGTCTCTAAAAGCTATGAGTGCTCCATGGTCAACAGGCAATTCTCTACCCCAGTCCTTCACTGGGGTAAAAAACTCCAGCATGGTGACCTGTAGCAGACAGAACCAGAAATGGACTGGACCCAAAGCCAGTGGCAGCCAGTGGCACACATGTGATCTTGGACTGACAGTAGATATTCCCTCTCAGACCGGAAAAAGCTTTGTCAGAATCCAGTGAAAGCATGGCACAGGCGGAGGTGATGTCTTTGTGTGCATAAAGTGAACATACTATATCTAGCAGTTTGAGCAACATCTTGTACAATGTGTATATCTTTGTCTTTTTTAGTAAATGGAATAAAACATCAGTACAGTATTAATGCCCCTAAGAAATTAACCTCTTTCAAGGCAGTATCATCTCAAGCAGAAGGGGCCTAATTGAGGCCAGATTCAGGTTTCGGGAAGGATGTTTCATCAGGTACTGTACTGTATGTACTATAGCTACCGCCAGTATAACTGTATTCAGAAGAACAACTAGTTAAATCGAGAGATTTGGGGAGTTTCATACACATTCCCTTATTGGATGTTATATCCATATAATTTAACCGCATACAATTTGACAGTAGTCTCCCCTCTACTATCTGGACTATCTGTAAAGAATTAATTGCTGCAAGGAGATTTATCAAGAGTACTACTGTATTGATGGGCTAACTAATTGTAACAAAATAATTATGGAATAATTAATGGAAAATATTCAGTTAATATCTGAGAAATGAACTGGCAAAGTTTGGAAAATGTAATCCTAACTATGCTGATTTTAAATTCAATCGCATAACAAAACCTGAATTTTAAGCTTATTCTAAAATAATCCAACTTTATTTCAAATTCAGTTCTTTTGAAGAAGATGAGTTGTGAGCCTGGTCAGTACCTGGATGTGAGACCTCCTGGAAAACAAAAAGGTGGCTGCTTGAAGAGGTGTTAGTGGGGCCAGCAGGGGGCACTCACCCTGCGGTCCACATGGGTCCTAATGCCCCAGTATAGTGACAGGGACACTATACTGTAAAAAAGCACCGTCTTTTAGATGAGATATAAAACCGAGGTCCTGACTTTGTGGTCATGAAAAATCCCAGGGCGTTACTTGAAAAGAGTAGAGGTGTAACCCCGACATCCTGGCCAAATTTCCCGCTGGCCCTTACCAATCATGGCCTCCTAATAATCCCCATCTATGAATTGACTTCATCATTCCATTCTCTTCCCCACTGAAATCTGATGTGTGGTGAGGTTTCTGGCACACTATGGCTGCCGTCACATCATCCAGGTGGATGCTGCACATTGGTGGTGGTGGAGGGGAGTCCCCATTACCTGTAAAGCGCTTTGAGTGGAGTGTTCAGAAAAGTGCTATATAGGTGTAAGCAGTTATTATTGTTATTGTTATTGTTGTTATTTATGCAGCTGTACAAGCACATTAAAAATGTCTGCAATAAAAACTTTTATTGTGTTTCATAGACCACGCCACTGTTAAAATTAAGAATCACCTCCAGTTCAGTTTATAGCTAGACCTAAAATGTCTTATCTTGTGATAGCCTGTTATTAAAAAGTCAGCAGGTGGCACATGAATATTTATCAGTATGAATCTGCAGAATCTGGCATGGTGACCTGACAACAATATGTATTTCAGCATTGTGTAACACAAAAAAGATAATAGGGCAAAAATCTAGTCATTTCTGGGGTATCAATTTATGTCTCGTTAAAAAAACTAAATTATTTGGCTAGAAGTTAAATATTCTGTATACTGTATGTATATACCATTTAAAATTCAAACTTACAGATTCAAACTAACTTCAGCAAAGATTTGGTCAGTTGGTTAACAAAACACAGTTTGAACAACATCCCTAAAATACTCATTCAAATATGCTCTAGTAGTCTCAATTTCATTATTCTCTGATCTGAAAAGAGAAATCTGAAAAATGTGCAGTGCATTTAAGGCACCTTTTCATACTGTGTATATGCAAATTTACAGACATATTGTTGTTCCCAATGAGACTCCTCTGTCATATTAACTTGTAACTCCAATAGAGGCGCAGTGCAGTAGCAGGTATCTTTTAGTAGGTGGGAACATGGGAACACAGACACAATCAAAAAGGTAAAAAAAAGTGCACATTATTTCTGTCTATGTGTCTGGTTCCCTAGCTCCTCCTTTGAGTTCTAACTACACTTATTTCATAAATTCTCTTTATAAACTGAGAAGGTAAGATGCTTATCAACATCAAAACCCAAAACATTTCTTCCAAAAAACTCATGTTTTTCACAAAATCCCAATGTTCCAAGCTCCACTGTCCCACAGTTGACCACTTCCCTCTTCTTACCAGAGCATCTGATACCTTCCCTAAATACCAGATACTGTATAGACAGATACTGTACTGGAAGCTTCTGTCAGTTTGTTCAGGATATTCAGAATATTTTAGCCTCTTAGCTGAAGAAAAAGTGGGCAAAGGTTCAACCTTATTCAGGTCCTGGCCATTTCTTAATGCTTACCAACACAAATATAATAAGTAATGAGGGATAAAGTAAACAAAAAGGGGTTGGTGGCAGCAGTAGTAGCTGCTTGGATGATAACCCAGCAGTAGATGACTTACCATCCAAGCATACTGGTTATGTCTTCTCTTCCTTTGTATTTCTAAGCTTTATGTAAAAAAAAGCTTTTACATATACATTTATGACTACTTTTATCAATGGTCTTGCACACGTCACAGTAGACAGTGCCTTCTGTGCTATTGTGTCTGCATGCCTTTACAGTATCTCCCCTCTAGATCTGATAGCAGCATGGTGGTTAATTATCTCTCACTCATCTGTTTAGTTAGGTATTTCACAGAGGGAATGTTTACACCTGCCTAGGTAGGTCTTTGGTCTCAACATATGCAAGAAAGACACAATCTTTATAAAAGTGAATTAAAAAGTTTTTGTAAGCCCTCCAGGAGACTAGGGCTCCAGGAGACTTCTTAAACAATGATTTTATCTCTAGTCTCTAAATTCTAATCTTGACAGCTGTGTTTTCTAATGTCTAAGGATAACCCGGTCTTGTGTTTCTTTCAGGGTGATGCAGGGTCCTCTGCAGCAGGGATAAAGGTTAGTCTCCTTTCTTTTCCATTGGTATCTCTTTGTATTTTTTTCTAAGAGCTTAATTCATAAAAGCTATCTAATTGATTCCTTCTCCAATCAGATAAATTCACTCCCTGGCTGACACTGCTCTATTGATTTGATGCCCTTTTTCTTTCTGTTTGTCTTTTTTGTAGGGTGAACCGGGAGAACCTGGCAGATCAGGACAAAAGGTAAAAATACAAAGCCTTATCCCCACAACTGTTCAATCTCACTTTGTTACACAATTTTGGTGCAGAGAGGCATTGCGATACTGTCAATAGAACAGGGATTTCTTTTTGTTCTTGCTTCAAGTAGCCTTTATTTTGAGGTAACTATTAACTATTTGTCTGAACATCTTAAAACTACAGAAAATTCCTAAAAGCTGCAGCAAATCAAAGCCTATGAGAAAGCCTGGGGATGTGACTTACTGTGAAACATGCCACACATCATTGCATGAGAGCAGTAAATTAACATTTGAAAAGGTTACAGAAATGTGGTGGCTTTACTAATGTGCTGTTTGGAATATGCTACTTGTACTAATGCCTTTTTTAAAACTTTTTTCTGTATTTTTTTAGTATTTTCCATAACCAGTATGTCATATATTAAGTCACTCTTAAATTTTGCCTGGCCTCATTAAGTCTAACGGTGGCAGGGAACTGTTTTAAGGGTCTATAACCAAATGCTTTAAATTCAGTGTCAAAAAAGCTCCAGACAGCAATTTCCCAGTGTCAGCTAAATCTAGTACTGATGAAGCAGCTTATGCAGCATCAAGGCAACACTGTAATGCTACCAGTCAGATTTCATTTAATTATACATTTTATGTGTGTGCCACACATCATTAATTCAGCATAGTTTTACATTTCAAATTAGTTCAAGTGGAAACTGAGATCTTTACAACCTTTGAGGGTATTTCACATAAGCAGTCTGGGACCAGGCACAGTGGGCAACTTGTCTGAGGAACTTTCTGGATCCTTTTCTTTAATTGATTTATTTCTCATTCTTTTTTACACTCTAATAAAATTATGTGCTTTTGTTTAGTACTATATCAGTCTTTTAAAACAGTCTTTGGTCATTACAGAAAGTAATTTTTGCTAGTATTTTCAATTATTCTCATTTTTAAACAAACAACTCTGGGTCAGAGAAAACAACATTTATTCGCTTTCAGTTTTCATGTGATTTTTGCTAAAATTAATTTTACTGTGCATGATGACGTCAATTAAATTAACCGTTTGTGTTTCTCCTTAATGGTTATGACTAGATTAATCATTTTACCTCATGGGTTGCAGTTTTTTATAAAGTTTTATTTTTGTTTTCTTCACTAGACACCAGATTAGCATACATCATCCTCCACTATTTTTTTTATTTTTTTTCTTTGTCTCTCCTTTGTGTTGTTAAATTAGATAGGTCCAATAACTCCTGGTTAAATAATCCAATCCATCTATCTCACACTCCTGTTAGATATTCCAGGAACAACAAAAAATGTTAAATAATGTATTTGAGGTACAGTAAAGGATTAGAAAACTTTTCACTGTTTCCATCATTATCATATTACAAGTGTCTGTGTGGAGATTTTCATTTAAGTAAGAAAAGTCATTTTGAATTATTTTAATTACATATGACAATACCTTTCTAATGGTAAGGAGTGCATGTTCTTAGACATCTATACACTATCCATTGCTTAATGAACACCTGGAGCACAATACATTGACAAAGAGGCAGTTGTTTTAAGATAATTATTTTCATAGATTGTGAGACATGGAAACACATTTTAAAGGCAACTATATTTCTATCCTTTTGCTCCGTGCTTCCTTACATATCAGTGTATTGATGGAACAAGAATTGTCTCAATCACTGTAATCTGAAAAAAAAATGCTCGTTTTTAACTAAAACCGTAAATTCAGACCCTTCTTTGTGATGACTGTTGTAATATATTGGTTTTCTTCTCTGGCATCCAAATTGTAAATTAACAATGCTTCAAATGGAAAGAGTGGCTTTACTTGATCTCAAAAAAGTTCCTGTATGTGCGTGCTTCTCTCTATGAAATGAAGAGATCCAACTCCTGCCATTGTTGAAAGATCATAATATTGAGGAAGTAATTATTTTTGGTAGAGAAAGACATAAAGTTGGTGCTCATATGTAGCAGGTTTAACATCAAGCACTTGATATTTTTTGGAATACCAGAAAGTATGAGTTCAGCTTTTATTATAATGTTTTAGGTGAATCGATTAGTTTGACATCTGTTACTGAAGAGTGCAATCACTTTCTATTACAATTGAGAGTCATTTCCAAGAATTATCCTTATACCTGCTTTATCTGTGCTATTATGTCCAAAGGACATTTGTAAAGCTTTTTTGCTTCATATAAGATGGTATTCAGCATTGACCAGAACTGGACTGAAGTACTTGACACATTCTAATTGTGCTTAAAAAGGCAGCAGATCTTGTTAGCCATTTGTGCGTCTGTATGCTGTGATGACTGATATTTAAGAGCTGTTTCTGTAAAGTTTTTTTTTTTCCATTGCAGGGAGAGCCAGGACTGCCCGGGTTACCAGGACTTCCTGGAATAAAGGTAAATATTGCTCTGCTCCCATCTATGAGAGGTCCTGTCTTCATCTACAGCAGTGAATTCTGAAAGTTACATAGCAGGGTAGAGTTTACACCATCCATGCTCAGCTTCTGCTACTCTCATTATCGTGGAAACAGGTGTTATGTGGGATTTGTTATGTCTGGTGATATAAAAGAATTATGTATGACGACACGTAGGTACCTTACTTCCTTACTTCTTCTATTGTGCCAGATGGGAAATTTGCTTCGCAGGCGGGTAAAAGGCATAATACTATATATATATAGTGTACATAATACATTTAACACAACAGGAACCCATTAACAGATAAGAAACATTCAAGGAAAAAAAATAGAAAAACAAGTTAAGCAGCTTAGGTGATCTTCACAATTTAGAAAAAACAGTGTGTGAAATAAATACATGCATGTTGAAAAAAATAAAATAAAAATCAGTTGTTCAAATTAAGAAGGTACCTGGCCCCTTTATAGTACATCACTTGTGTTAAAGAAGTACTATAGAAAAAAAAAATCATTATTTTTTCTGATTTCTGTTAACAGAGAGAAATGGTTAAATTCTTAAAAATTATACTAAACTGGACTTAAACTAAACTGGAATTATACTAAAATTGGTTTAAAAGCATCAACTCTGCTCTTTTGCAGTGAGTCTTAATTGAGGTATCCTCTTCCACACTGTTGTTACTAATAAAGCATATCAGTAATGCTTTGTGTCAAAGTTACACTTTAAATGTTTTACTAATTTTTATAATAGATATGGCAGATTTAACATACAGAGGTGTTATTGGAAAGTTTTAGTACATTTTGTACATTTTAGTACATTTTGAAATTACAAGAGAAATAAATATAGAAAATGTCTGTATTGATAAGAAACCATGCCTAATTATTTTGAACTGGATGATTTTTATAATGATAATAACAATATAGTCTAGTCTAATTGTTGTTTGCAATATTAAATGTACTCATTGCCCCATAATGTATACTGAACTGGTTTGAAATTTTCTGATAATTTTTATGTGTGGCAAATAAAAGTAAACAGCAGATATTTGTATAGGATACTCAGTGAGATTATATTGCACTCCCTGTTTCCCATTCAGATCCATGAATTCATAAAAAAATAATGTATCTTTTTCTGAAAAATATATCCTTTTACAGCCATTGTGGAACTGTTTGAAACATTTGCTTTGCATTTTAACCCAAAAAACTGGTACTAGTAAGTGCCAAATGTTTTTTCTCATAAGACAAATAATAATGAGTGTTTTCTAATGCATGTCTGTATTTTCCGTGAAGTCATTTTTATTTCATAAAGGAAAAAACATGTTTACTGTCATCGTGCATTAGTATTGTATTATGTCTGACGAATTACTGCACTGAGGGGACAGTCCATTAAAAGTTCTGATTTTTCAAAATGTACTCACATCTGCGCAATGAAACCAAAATGTTCTTCATATTGTTTCTTCTTTTGCATTAAAGGATAGATACATTTGCCTAGTTTTACACTGGCGAAAGAGCTTTTATACATTCATTTTTATATAATAAGTGAAATATTTTTATAAGGAAAAATAACATATATTACCAATTCATGCACAATAAGATCTGCATGTAAGGTAAAATGAGTGATGCAATTCTCATTCCCAGTCTTTTTCACAATATTACAATAACAATATTAGCATTGAATATATTTCATTATTTTTATTTATTTTCATTTTAATATTCACAACCATCTTAGTTATTTTTTAAAATTCCAGTGTTTCTAATTCTCTGTTTATTGTACAATTAAATAAGGGGGATTTTCAGATGATGACCATCCATCCATTATCAGGAAGCTGCTCGGTCTTGTTAAGGACATTCAGAAGCATAGGTTACAAGGCAGATTGTTACAGGTCACACACAGAAACAAATTAGAGAAACAAACTAGCATGTTTCTGGAGGTGGGAGGGACGTGTAGCACCTGGAGAACCCTTGCAAGCATAGGAAGAACATGCAAACATAACACAGAAGAATCCCCAGTCTGTAATCAAAGCAAGCATTTTGCATGTAAAAATACCTCTAAAACATGTAAAATCCATTTACAAATAGGTATTGCCTAGTAATATATAAAAAAATATGATATATAATAAATATATAATTCAATAACAAAACTATGAAATAACTTAAATGGTAATTGTATAGTTATTAAATGAAATTAATTTCCATATTTTAATTAACAACCTTGAGAAATGCAATCGATATTGCTAAAATGACATCCATTTTCTGTATCACTTGTCACTATACCAATAAATTATTACAGTCAATACATCATAAGCAACTCAACTGTGTCTACATACCATACCATTGTGACTTGTCTTGTAGATATTTTTGCTTTTATCCTACAAATAAACACATAACTATATAAACATATTCAGTAGGAATCAATATAAATTAACTCCATGCTGAAAAATATAAAGAGAGTAAAATAAACAAATGTTTCACCTATAGATCCTTCCTGGGGTTTGCAAAAAGAGAGTGAGGTGACAAAAGTAAGAGGGAGAGATGGGTGGCAGAGAAAGCACACAAAGAAAAGTTCAGACTTACTGAAGAAATGGGGAAAGGAGAGCAGTAAGCTGAAAAGCAGCAATCTTTAAAGTGGAAGGATTTAAACAGAGTCAATCATTAAGGGCTGTGAGTTGGGCTTTTGATATTTCTTTCAAACTGGGATAAAATATCATAATGTGTAAAGAAAAGCCTTTGACATTTACTGCTCCAACATCGTCCTTGAAATTGCCAGCTGTCTTTATGTTTCCCCTATGTAAATGGAACAACACTTTACAAGTAGTGGACAAAGAAAACAGAAACACCAATATGTAGTCACTTGTGGCAAGTAAGTCTGTATGCACTGTAGCATAGGCTCTACCAATGTGGTACTGTTATTTCTCGAGAAATTGAATCAGCTCGCACCTAGTGGATGAAGGTGGGAAACATTATCACCGGCATCATTCCAGAATATCCCATAAATACTTCATTAGTTCACATCTGGTGACTTAGAAATCATGACATAAGTATAACATCAGTGTCATGCTCATCAAATTCTTGGGTGGCCACACATGCTCTTTAGATGGGGGTATTGTCATGCTGGAAGATATCCCTCTCAGCAGGAAAGAAGTGCTGCAACATGCAGTGATAATGATCACTCAGTACCATTAAGTGGTGAGTATCATTGACCTTGTCTTCTAAAGGAATGAGTGCAGCCAAACAGTGCCTGGAAATGTGTGACGAGAAGTGCCCGGTCTGGATGGAAGCTGTGGACTGTTAAGGGAACTAGGGACCAGAAGAAAGATTATACTGTAAATGAAAAGAGGCCATTTGGCCAAACTAGCTTCCAAAGTTATGTAGTTCGGTTGTTTGACATTATAAGATGATTAGTGGGTCTGGAAAAATGTTTAACAGTCTTAAGAATAAACATGCTGGTAGGGAAGTGGGATAATAATAATGATAATTAATTAAGATATACTTTTAGTGCTTTTTAAGACGTTTAGAGCACTGGAAGTGGAGGATATGAGCAATGTGTGGGTTTGGGTTTTCCTCCTGGGGATGATTGTAAGTGATTTTACAAGAACTGGTTTTGGCTGAGCAATACCAGCAAAAGATGAGCAAAGCTTGTCAATGGGCTTTATTCTGGGACTCACTTTCATTGCTACATAAATGACAAAAACCGAGGAAGGAAGGAAGAGTGTTTTTATTATGTTAGGGATAAAAGACACTTTAAAGGCAAACATTATGTGAATCAGTGGGTTTGTAATGCACTGAAGATTTTAGTTACACAAATGGAAATTCTTTGAAAGGTACTGTAATGGAACATAACCAAATCCCATAACCAAAACATTGTACATTTTATTCTTTTAAATTTTCATGATGGAGTTAGCTTAGTTGTTGCTTTTGCTACCTGTACACTGGTGAAAAGTAATAGACCTGTAATAACCAACTAGTTCCCCATTCATTACACTCTGTAATGAGCTCAACAAATTATTTTGAAAGAACTATTGAACTTTGCTGAATAATTTGAACTCCTTCCCACAAAAGCTTTTGCTTTCATGTTGTGTTAATCAAACCACGTTTGTAAAACTCTTCCCCAATATATCTGATGTAAAACAATACTTTCCCCCAGTCTTGTAGTCACATGTTTTTATTTTTTTAAGTAGACATTTCATGGACATTTTGCTAAGTTTGCTTATTGTTTTTATCCTTCTAAAGATCTTGCCTTATATATAACCCTTATTTTAAGAATATATGACCCAGACTTTTTGCAAATCGTGAAGTTATGAGAGCCTAATGAAACTACTTGTTCAGGCAAATTCTGTCAATGCATTATGCAACATAAGATTTATACATCATAACATCTTTTACACTTTTAAATAATGTTCTTATTTCTTCAGTTTTCAGAAACTTTTAGATCGCAGCCTGTCTGCAGCAGTTGAATTTATTTGCAGTACAACACAGCATAAGCGGCAAATCTATCCTTTAGAAATAATACTGAATCAGATAAACAGCTTTCTTGCAATATTCAATGTTGTTCAGATGTAGATACAAGTTGTGAATCTAACACCAGAGCTTCATGGACTCAATACATCAATACCTACTGCTACTGTTAATCTAAACATGCATCCCAAAAAGGAGGCATTTGGTAAGATTAGGTCTTAAACTCTCTTTTTCCAAGTGGATTATAGATATTTACAGATATGTATGTTGTAAAATTAACCCACAGTGTTTATTCTTTCTGTAGACTAAGGCCCTGAGCAAAAAAAAAACACTCATCGACTACAAATCTCAAACCCATTACCTGATGGTGGATATCCTTTGGGTAAAAATTAAAAATAGCCTTTTCCACACAAAGTCATCATCAAGTATTGATTTTGCAGTTTTACTTTCTTGGGTAGAATGACGTTCTGGGCTATTGTTTAAATCAAACTGAATTTTATGGTGATCTGAAACAAATATGCATAAGTTTATTGATTTATGATTAGTTCTTGATTTGTTTTGTTGGTGCTTCTAGAAAAATAAGTAAGGTACAACTAGAAGGAGGTCCTTCTGCCCATCTAGCCAATGTGGAAGTTATTAGATAATTGATTTGAGGATTTTATCCAGCTATTTATTGAAAGAAGACAGGCTTTAAGCCTCGACAGTATGTAAAAAGTGATAATTAGTCTGGATTAGACATTCTTCCCCTTATTTTCTTCTCATTCATTTTTCACTGTTGATTCTGAATAAGTCCAGTGGGGTAGCCTTTGTCAATACCTCTGAGGATTTAAACACTTCAATCAAGTCTCTTTTTGGTCTTCTGTAGACTTAAGAGTCGGTTCTTTTAGCCTGTCAGTGCAAGGCATTCCTTTGGCTCCTGTATTGTACCTGCTTGCTTTTCTCTGGACTGATTCCAGAGCAGCAGTATCTTTAAATCTGATTAGAACACGGTGACCAAAATTGTAACAACATTCTAAATAAAGTCTTACAAGTGCATTGCACACTTTTAACATAATATCCCCCAATTTAAATTTGAAGTTTTAAAACTATACATTGCACAGTTCTGCCTTTTCTAATGATCACACATACTTGTTGGAAGATGGAAATAATTTGTCAACATACACTGTACAGCACAAACTTTGTGTTAAGTAGCTTCTTTAATGTGTTTCTCATGTATTTTGCTTATTTTTATCACTTATTTTTATGCTATCTTCATGAGACAATCTGCAGTAATCTTAGTTAAATGTCAACTGCCAGGTGACATTTTGAGCATTGTCCATCTTTTCCCTATTTCCTTTGCTTCTTCTATAGTGTTTGCTAACCCATCTTGTCTGTCAACATATGCAAACCTTATTAGTTTACAAAACTGTACCAAAATGTAGATCATTAACAAAACTTATTAAAAAGAGCAGCAGTCCTAGTACATACACTGGCACTGTATGTACAGTAGAATATTACATCTTACATTACATCTTATCTATACCTTTTCTATACAAAAACCTGTTCTCAAAGCACAACTTTTGTTAACTATCAATGTCAAATATACAAATAAATGCACACATTTACTCAAATATCTATCACCTGCAACTTAAGAATTAATTATTTATGATGCACTTTCTCAAACGTCTTATGAAAATGAGAATATAGCACAGTATAACCTAAATATAGTACAGTACAGTATTGTGTGCTCAGTTTGTGCTGTACATTCCCACCTTTTTTAATATGTATTGACTACTCCCTAGAATGCTTTTGTTATGCAGGTGATCCTCTAGTTCTTAGATTTGTATAAGTATTGTACCCATAACCCTGCCTCTATTCTAACTAAGACTTATTGGTGTATAATTACTTTATTCTTTTTCATTATTGTTTTTATGGATGAGCACAGCAATTAACAATTTACCAATCAATGTGTATCCCCTTTCTCTTGAGTGGTTGCTAAAAGTGTTTTGTTAATGGCCTATGAATAACTTTTCATTTCCTTCAGTACAATAATCAAACACTGGAAGTTTGTGTATATGAAATACATGTAGTACAGTACTTGTAATACTGCTATTTCTATGCTAATAATATTTAATATAGACCGTTGTCCTTCATCAGCCTGAATAAGATCCCATTCTATTTTTTTTAATCTTATAGTCTGGTCTCTTTGTTAAGTAAGCGCTCTGAGTGTGAGCATCCATGACTGAATTTCAGCAGCTTAGCTACTGTACTGTATATGCATTATATTGATGCCATGACCTGAATTTCACAGGCTGATGTCTATCAGTTGCCAAGGTTAGTACAGAAGAAAAGGAGCGGTTCATGCATTTGTTATGACTTCAATCAGCTCTTATTTCCTTAAGTTCAATTAGTAGAATAGTCCTTGGAAATGCAGCATGTTCTGGGATTTGGAATCTTCTGTCTAGGGAACGGAGACATGCTGTCTTGAGCTTCCAGGTTTTGACTCATGCCTCTTCTTAAATTATATCTGATTTTTGTTGGAATATTTCAGGGTGAACCAGGATTCATGGGACCCCAAGGAGAGCCTGGTTTGCCAGGGTTGCCAGGAACAAAGGTAGGTGATGAGAATTTCCAGACATATACACTTGCACTGTAAATGAACCTTTCACAGAGAAATCGCAATTAAACCTTGATTGAAGTACAATGAATAAATTGCATGAATGATTAAATTTGTGTACAGAGTACAGTCCCTTTGCTACAGTATTCATACTGATTCTTCCACATCTGATGGTTATTAATCTGTGACCATGCATACAGTATATGACAAAAAGTGTTTGTAATTAAGTACATTAATTATCGTAACTCATCTTCAATAGGTTATCCTCAATTGTGTAGGTTTAAGATTTTAGAAGCCACTGTATGACAGCCATTAGTGTCAGTAATCCAGCGAAAGGTTGGATTTGTATCTTGGGTTGGTCATTCCTCTTCTACCCAAGAGGCATTAGATGCCAGTGGTTCTGTGGAAGTGAGAAGGGGTCTCTTCAATGTCCAAATGATTTTCAGTCCGTGCCATGTGAGAATACAAGGGTTATCATAGAAGAGGTCAGTTATTCTACTGCTGTGTGATGGAAACTGGATTTGTATGATGTTTAAAATGTGGCCTGTCCTTTTTTGTATGCTTCAAGGATTATGGGTTTTTACCTTACCAGGAAAGGCATGGATCTTGTCTTGCAAGCTCCTCATGCACTTCTGAGAGTTCTGTCTGTGAGTGGTTCGTCAAGAAGGACAGATGCTAGTGCTGCTTTACCTAATAAAATATTGACACAGTCTTTTACCGCATCCTAAGACCAACATAATAAAACTGAAATGTTAGAACACCGAGCACCAAAACATATCCTCACATCCATGTATGTTCATGTGAGGAAAGTACACTGTGCACATGCTAGAATACCATTCTAAACTGGAACTGAAGTCAGTTCTGCACTACAAATGAAAATGTTGTTGCACAAATATCAATAATTGCGGACATGAAATGGAGGTAAATGTATTATAGACTGCTCATAAATATTAGTATTCCTTGAAATAGGTCTCTAAATACAACATAATTCATGTAAGCCACAGTTTTGAAAGCACCACACAAGTTTATGCAGTAATTTACTTTCATTTGACTGCAATAGCCCTTGCAGAGGCTTGTAACATTATAAAAACAGGATCAAGTATAATAAAGTACAGTGAAATAATGGTAAAGCATACAGAGGTACTGTAACACGTGATAAAAAAACAAGAAGTAACTAGCAAAGCAAAATCAATGCACAGTAAAAGTCGATGTGTAAAACCCATGGGAAGCTTTTTTAAAGGTAGGTTTCCTCAGTGGTGTTCATATCTCAGCTTAGAGAAAATTCTTCCATGGTCAGAACATCTCAAGAGTAGGAATTCTGGCTGTTCATACCCAAATAAGGAGTTCAGATATTGCAAAAGAGCAACGAAAAAGTATTCCTAATAAAATGGCATAAAACACTGTTGTGGCCCTGAGATTTGAAATCAGTAACTTCAAACAATCCCAGGCAGTATTCTTCCATGTGGGGTAGTCATAGTCAAATTATCATCATCTGGACAGAATTTGCAGCTTTACAGCTCTATCACTGTTCTTTGAGTATTCCTAGAGATTGAATGAAACACGGCTTCAGTTTCAGATATTTTCATTTTTGTGTTTATTCTATAACCACACTTTCTGCAAATGTTTTTTTATAAAGTAGTAGCATAAATAAAAAAATATAGCAAAGTGAATTAGAACACTGTTTAGACTAGTCTCAGTGCTGTCACTGAGTGATACCGGGCCTTAGGGCAGATGATAATACTGTATAACTCACAAGTTAGTTTTGTTTTGTTTTGCTGGTGCATTAAGAAAGATTTCTTTAAAACAATGATCAAGACAGGAATGAATAACATCGCCTGGAGGGTATGAAGAAGTTTAGAACACTGTTACTGTTACTACTCACATTCAGTAAGATCAAAGATGACACTCAATGCTTGCCAATGAAACACTGAAGCAGCAAGTGGTACTACAGTGCCCTCTGCTGCTCACAACACAAATTGGTGCTATATTGTACTTATTACACCACCCACTAAAAATGAACGTAATGTCCATACAAATACCAGTTAAGCCCTATAAATACTGGAGGTCCAAACCTAAGCCACATGATTCCCCCTGCAAGAGTCTACAAAATTTTCAACATGTTTGACTGGATATGGGTCGGGATTTTCCCAGCTTATTATAGTGTGCTTGTAAGCACTGTGCCTGTCCTTCCGCTGTTCTATCTCATTGGCACTGTGGGTCTGTGGAACAAATAAGAAGCAAGCAACCTGACAGATAAACAATTTCAGATTATGGAAGATAATGTGCATGACCATTAATGCCCGCTGTGCTTGTAGGAGTGTAGTAGCAAAATTTAAAAGTAGGCTGATTTTAAGCAGGCAACTCCTAGTAATGGGAGGATCAAAACAAAACATTTGTCAATTCTTCTTTTAAGAAGATATACATTTGCACCATCATTTGCACCAAAACTAAGGATGTGATTTTGCTTCCCTCCCAATTATCCAATGACAATGTGATGTTCATGACTTGTTGTCTCTCCCGGCAGGGTGAGAGAGGAGAGGCAGGGCCACCAGGGAAAGGAGAACGAGGAGAACCCGGTCCTATGGGGCAGAAGGTCAGTAATACAAGACTTGGGTTTCTTTTAGTTTGTCCAACACCTGCAATTCAGTTCAGCAAAGGATTTTATTTCACGTTTTCATCTGAAAGCTGTTCTGCCTCATGTCATCAAAAAACTGGTGAATATTCTACCGGTGCCAGAACCACAATAGAGCATTTTAGAGCATAAAAAGTGAGAAAGAAATAACCCTGGTTAAATCACATCCGTCTAAACTGAATGACAGATTCCTCGCTTCTATTTTTTATTGGCTTGCTGTAGAATGATGATCCTATTAACTTTTTATAAATAAATCCATAATGGCTACCTTCCTTGCTATGGGCGACAAGCTTCATAACTTCGTCTTTACATTACAATATACTCATCAGCAACTCGTCCTTCAGGCAGGCAAAAAACCATGAAACCATTTCTCAGCAGGACTTTACTCCTGATCTTTCAAAAGTATTCTGCTCTTGTGGCAGAAAACCCTTTGTCAACGTGGAGTACAGAGCTCTCTTCATCTGACCAAGCTGAAGATCATCAATGGCAGCCAGTGTAGTCTGTTCAAAATAGCAAAAGTGGTAGTTCAGAAGGAATGATTTGTCTTGGTGTTGCAGAGAAGCAACCTGTATTTTATGGACTACACTTTGTTAGACATTCAAGTCAGATCTTTTCTTAAATAATCCAGTTACAGTGTAAGCGTGCATTTCTTTGAAAACCAAATCTTTGTATTCTGTTGAACAAGAAATGCCATACATGATTTGTTATAATACTCTGGGATTGGGGATCTATTAAGTTCTACTTCCCTGTGTTTCCTTAGGCCATTTTTGTGTTTTACTATACTTTATAATACCATTCCGATGGATACTGTTTGTGTTTTACCTCTTGCATCACAATCACAAAGGCAAAGATTTTTTGGCTGATCATATTGCCTCAACATTCAACACAATGACACAGATAACTTCCTGATATAATTTTGTAACCTTCCAGTTACCTTAACTCTATATGAGAATTAGAAAAGCTGGATGACTGAAGTGCAATCTGGGATTATTCTTTTTCTTCCCCTATAAATCTAACACACCAAATAAGCCATTTTAAACTTGCACATAGCACATAACACCTGTATATCTAGCACCATTCCAGCAGTTCCAGATGATGATTGTTCCTGACCCTTTACTTGATGTTGTACCCACCAGCACATGTTTTGCCAGTGTACTGTAATGCAGCATGTTTTGGTGTCCGTGACTACTGTAATTTAACATTTAAAATGTGACTGCTGCAAATGTGCAACTGAGGCCTCAGTTGTTCTTTCTTAGTGATGACTCCACCATGACTGTCAATCGTATGGCATGACATCTTTTGTTTGCAGTTTTAAGTGCAGTCAGAACGCTATCTTTCAAGGCTTGGGAAAGAGATATGAGATATCTTTTAACCACATGGGTTTGCATTCATTTACAGTCATTGTTCTCATGAATAGAGGTACAGCTCTACAGTATTAGATTTTACTATTTCAAAAGCTGTGACCAATTATTGGGTGTCCCCCTTTTTACTTAAATTTTGTCATTATTTAAAAAATAATTATTTGATTTTGGAATTATTTCTTCATTGCCTCTAATACTTGCATTTTTTTTAGGTAACTTGTAAATTACGTAACTTACTTTGATACATGGCTCATTATAAATTAGCTATGACATTATGCTTCCTGTGAAAAAATGACATATAAACCAACCTGTTTAGGTCATTTAGAAATAATTTTGTGCCTCTCCCTGCTACTGACATCTTTAGCCTGCAATCTTGACTTTTAACGGTTTCCTTTCTCCTGTTTTACTAATTCTATCTACTGTGTGCCTTGCAATAAGTATGACTGCCGGACCCATACTTAACAAACAACATACAACATGCAGCATACAGTATTTTAATTATTTTAGAAGCAAAAATTTGAAAAAAAAAATACAGTTTCTTGCAATTGTGCCAGACATGAGTGTGGCCCATTTGTCAGCTTAATTTTACGTGGGAATAACAGTAGTATTGCCTAGTGAAGGCAATAGACTAATTACCATAGGTGAAAGTTAATCTTTATTAATATATTTCCTCATATGTAGGAGAACAAATGGTAAGCATTTAGATCATTCTTTAGCTCTGAACAAATGTGTTTGCAAATGGAGGTTTTGAAGACCTTCATATAACACCATGTACTGTAGAACCTCCATATAACTCATATAAAGGATACTCTGTATATATTACATACAGTAGTAATGTAGTAACTATCAAAAGGCAAGTTCTTAATTCTTAATTTGTGATCTTTGATATTACAAAAGTAGCATTCAGAGGACTATTGCCTTATTTCTCTTATTATAAATACATTTAATTTTTAGTCTATTTAGTCTATACTAAAAGGTATATTATTATTATTATTATTATTATTATTATTATTATTATTATTATTATTATTATTATTATTATGATTGTGATTATTATGATTATTGTGTTGTTGTCTTCACAGTTATTTTAATGGTATATTGCAACATTCCTTTAGTATACTGTTGGAGCAGATTTTTCAACACTGAAAATATTATGCAAATTGGAAAGAAGTTTGAAAATATTGTGCTATATTAATTTAGTATGTCAGTGGACTGAATTTACCAAGTTCTTTTAATATCTGTAAAAGGACTGAAATGAGAACAGAATAGGCAAAAGGTGAAGATGATATATGTTATTGATGAAGCAGAAGTTAAAATACAGTAATATTTACATGAACCATTTAGCTTTGCTTCAAGCAGCCAAAATGAAATACAATTTGCTAGCACTTAGCATATGGGATATGATTCATTAGCTTTACTTTAAGTGCACAGAGTTGACTAGTTCTTCTATTACAGTATCCTAGGAACTGATGATGTACATTTTTAAACATTATAATAAAATAACATCCATAAACGTAACACATCCACTAGGTATGGGAAAGGGGGCACAATAATAGTTATATTATTTTGCGTGTGTCAGCCATTTACCTTTAAATTCCTTCATTGCAGTCACTTCATGACACCTGAATGTAATACGTCAGCAGCACAACTTTCTACCTGGCATGAATTTCCTCCCACTGCACAGTCAGTGCTCCCTTTTCCACTCTACTTTCTCACACACTCACGCTCGCAGAGAGAACAGCTGTCCCATTAATAAAAACAGGAGGGTGTATTTACCAAAGGTACCTGCAAAAAATGTACTTCTAATTAAAATGAAAGCTCAGGAGCTAAGCCCAGCAGGGAAGAAACTCGTGAGTAACAAACTGCCAGCAACTGCAACAAAAAATCTGTTAAGAAAAAGTAACTGAAAACATTAAGGGCATTAGGGTCATGACAATCAATCTGAGCACAATTAAATACTTCCAGTTCCTTTTAATTAGGGGCTGTTTGTATTGGAAATAGTTTAAACATACTAATATGTTCTCATTAGTCACATGTTGTCATTACCCTGCCTGCTTTAAAGGCCCTTTAACTGTCACTAACTGCTATGTCTGACACCTAGACTCTGCCACAGAATCCTGCGAATATCGGAAGTAGCATTAATTCACATGTTTTACATGCATACTTCCACGGTAGACTTAGATCTGTTATGTTTGTATGGTTTGTGCATGTCTGTTTTGAGGGGGTGAATGGCTCTTGCAGATCTTATCTCCCATTCTCTTCTTTTCCCTGTGTCCTTCTGTTACCTCTCTTCTGCTTGCTGCCAGGGAGGGCAAGGTGAGGCCGGACCCCAAGGCCTCAAAGGGTCAAAGGTCAGTGTCTACAACTGAGATTTATCTTAGACTGAGAGAAGCTTTGGGTCTTCAACTGTTTATTCAAATATTTTTAGTGATACCAAAGTAACTGTAATAAATCATTAGTCTTATATTATGGCAAAGGTTAAATTGACACCAGGTTTCAAACTAAAAAATACTTTTCTCTGAGCCCTTCTGTTGCCCAGAAAGTGTAGTATTTGAATTTGTATTATGTTTCATAATGTATTTTATGTATCTTAAAATTGCCTTGTCTAAATGTGTATTTTTAGATCAAAGAATATGTTCAGCATTTTATAGAATTTCTTATCTTCTTTTATACAATATGATACTCACTGAGAAGACGAACACAGTCTCTGAGATGAGGAAATAATTGTTGCTCCATTAAAGTCAAAATTAAGCTTTCTCAATTTTTCTTGTATGGGATACTGTTTAAAGTGTGTACGGTTGTAATTTAGTTCTGTCCATTTATGGCTTCTTAACAAGGATGTGCTGCACTTCTGTTAGTTTGCAGTAATTTGTAAACTGCACATTTTGCAGTTTTAGGTAAGACTAAATATTAAAATAAAGGTTAATCATCTAATAGAACAGATGGTAGATATTTATTTCTCAAGGAGTCAAAAGAAGAGGTGCAGTACCGGCAGAACTGCAGTTTTTATTTTCAGTTTTACAGGCTTAATATGACTTTTTTCCATTGTGTTTCAGGGTGATCCTGGTGAAAAGGGGGAGTCTGGGTCCATGGGGCCACGGGTGAGTAGATCAGTACATGTGGCCAATTGCTCTTCTCCTCAGACCTCTGTGCCCCTTGTTCTCCTCACCTCTGCTTTACATTACTGCCTTTTGCCGTTCATCTCTTGACATGACGTCAGCTGCTGGCATGCTACCAGAAAGCAGTATAAAAGTATATTGTTTTTTTAAAGGAGTCTGTCGCAGAAATGGATTCAGTGACATGATGAGTGGTGAAATACTGTCATATTGGCATATGAAGAACTGTGTAACAGAATGTACATTTTTATGGTGAATTAATTATTAAGCTTTTTTTAAAAAAAATGCTCAGCTCATCAGTTTTTGGTGATTAAGATGAGCTGCTACCATAATAGGAATGTTAGTTTCTGTCATTGGCCTGTGGAAGGCAGCATTGCACTTAGTGAGAGTCACTACAGTAGATTTATAAGAAAAGAACATCAAGGCATTTCCCATACTGCTATGGTATGCATGGACATTTTTCCATTTCTACATTCTTGCTTTTTTTCTTCATTGTCTCTGTGCACCGTACAGTCAAAAATAATGAAGCTCTTCTACTAAAGTGACAGTTGTCTTCCATCTAATCACATACTTCCTAACTAGAGAAATAGTTAGAAGAAGTTTGCTAGCAGCCATATCACCCTGCAACTCACAACTGGCAAGCCAGTTAAGCAGTTAAGCAGGTGTGAGCCTGGTCAGTACCTGGATGAGAGACCTCCTGGGAAAAAACTAAGGTTGCTGCTGGAAGAGGTGTTAGTGGGGCCAGCAGGGGGCGCCCACCTGCGGTCCGTGTGGGTCCTAATGCCCCAGTATAGTGACGGGGACACTATACTGTAAACAGGCGCCGTCCTTCGGATGAGATGTAAAACAAATGGGAAATTTGGCCAGAATGCCGGGGTTACACCCCTACTCTTTTTGAGAAGCGCCCTGGGATTTTTTTGAGAAACACCCAGGCTCACACCTGCTTAGCTTCAGTGGGTTCATTACCTGTAAAGTGCTTTGAGTGGAGTGTCCAGAAAAGCGCTATATAAGTATAAGCAATTATTATAAGTTTAGTTCTTCTTCCAAATCAGGGTTTGGGGGAGCCGGAGCCTATCCCTAAAAATATTGTTTCATATGTCTTGGTTTCTTTGTGTGCTCTCTGATCCTGTTATTAACTTCCTTTTTCACTTACTGGTTTTACAGCTTATTAGTTGTGTCAGTCTGAGCTACAACCTTTAGTTGATAGAGGGAATTCAATGTTTCCACATAAGTTGCACATTTGAAAAATTGCACATTGCACATTACCCTTTGTTTAATAAAAATTCTCTTAAAATGACAGTACTGAGGATGTTGTGTATCTGGATTATACTTAGACTAGAGCTTTTCTCTAAATCATTGAAAACTTCCAAGTCCAAAATAGTGAATAAGAAATAAGGGCCATAGGATCTAAAAACAAACAAAAAATGACTAAATTAAAATTCTGTTTAAAGTTTTAGATATATACTCAAAAGTTTGACATTCTTAAAGATCAAATAGGATCCTTTATAAACTTGTCAGTTACTGATGTCTGTTACTTTATCCTTCATATGTCAAAAAATGTAAAACTTTAAAATATTTTTTTTCACTGAAACAAAGTACAAAACTTTTTTTTTAATGAAAAGGGTACTTACTATATGTTAAATGTGGTAGCAACCTGAAAACTAAGCTATAACATGCTGATGTTCATGTCTGCATTTGTTTAGTCAGCAAATAGTGTATGTGCTTTGTGAAGCAGCACTGATTCTCTTGCATAACGTATGTGTAAAGTCCCTTTAGATAAAGTACAGTTATCTAGATGGCACAGGGTAGGCATGTAGTGATGGAACATAGAAATCCACTTTGCACAAAAAGGAATTTGGCTTAACTGATTGAACCATTAAAATGCCTGCATCAATCGATAAATCCAGGTTTGGATTTGAGCCATGATGTCTTTGAAGTCAACACATTCTTTTTTTTAAAGAAATTTGGTTACATGTTAGTCTCACTCCAGTGGATTTAAACAATCTTTCATCATGGAAACAGATTGGAAGCAAATCCCAGGCGTCATTGTTATAATCAAACCAGATGAGCTGCGCATTTTATTTTGTGCAGGTAAAGCATAGGAAAAGTCTTTAAAAAGCCTTGGTCAATCCATCCATCCATTTTCTAACCACTTTATTTAATACAGCCAAATCATGTATTAAATACAGCAGTAGAGTCTATTCTAGCAAGCAATGGGCACATTTGAATTATGTGACTGAATTGTGTGTATTATTTTGAATATCTTATGTGTTATATATTTGCTTCATATTCATATTATTTGCTTTGGTATTTAAAATATATGTTTTTGAAAAGACCATTTGTACTTTACATGGTAATAATTACATACATGTGCTACATGATTATAACAGCAGAGTGAATTAACAGTCTCTTTTGGATGGATAATAGTACAAACAAAGGCAAACATGTAAAAAAACCTTTGCACAAAATTGAACAAGGAAATTAAAGCAATCATAAATATATATTTTCCCTCCTCTTTAATTACAAAGTGTAATATGAACATAATGACACATTTTAAATCGCACTGTACAGGGTCCACCTGGACAGAAGGGAGACCAAGGAGCCACAGAGATCATTGACTATAATGGAAACATCCAGGAAGCCCTACAGGTGGGAATTATCGGAATTAGCGGAATTAGCGGAATTAGCGGAAGTTATAATGGAGTTCAGATTGTTCCTTTCCATAGTGTAAGAGGCAAAATGCTAGTTATGCTTAGATTAAAACAATTCTAGTTCTGCAGTACGTATTTCTAGTTCTTCAGTTGGTATTATTTCCATGGGCAACTGCTCTCACAATAAAGAGATTCTGTATTAACCTACCGTGTGTCAGTCAAGCATTGCTGTTATCAGGCCGAAGGAACATGTTTCATTTGTATAAAGTTTTGAGTTTTGTTTTTGCTATTTTACTATTTTATTATTAAAATAATGAGTTTATTGGTGCACAAACTATAATTCCTATTTTAAAAAGTAATAAACAATTGCTATTTCTTCAAATATAAGACAAAAATAATTATTTTATATATGTACAATACTGCAGTATTAATGTCAAGCAGTTGTGAAGGTTAAATTTTAATTTTCTTTTTTAATCTCACAGCAAGATTGTGGTGATCAAACTATTTAGATCAAGAAAACTACTAATTAAATAAACGGCTCACTGTATCACAGATGAATTTCATGTATGTGTATGAATGTTATAGTGAGAATGTGATACCAGGAATTTAATATTTAATATTTACATACCAACAAAATCCCATGTTAAATATTTAGGGATTTCATAAAATTTCATTTTCTTAAAGTAACATGTACTGTATAAGTTATCAAGTATACAGTATGTACAGTATGTGTATATAGAGTATATACACACATAGCTTATGCAGTTATCTTTTGTTGAAAGCGATTACTACAGTATATGTCGTTGAATTTTTTTTACAAATACTGTATGTTGAAAAAATATTTCCCATTGTACCCTGAAATTTGTTTCTTTCGTACTTATTTATTTTCCTTACACCAGTAATACAGCAGGGTCTTGTGTTTCCACAAGTATTTCATAGTGGGTAAATGCCTGATGGCTCATGGGACGAGTCAGTCCATCAGTGTAACTTGAGTTATACCCAAAAGGCATGCTTGAAACCAGAAGAGGCTACACTGATGTTTTTTCACACACATTGGCATTGTGCCTTATACCTCATACCTCAGGTATAGGTGACCCGAACCAATTAATATACAATGAACAAACACAACATAAACGGCAAGATACATTTCAGTTTCAGTGTAGTCCACACTGCAAAGCATTCAACACATTCAGGAGAGTCTTTGTGTCATTGGTTTGTTGTTTTTAATAAGATTTCTAACCAATATGTTTTCATTTCTTTGTTTTTCTATGTTACATCTACCTAAACAGTAGTATAAAATATACCTCCGTTATCAGTTTTTTAAATAAAAATTATTATATTATTTCTCAAATGAGGATTGCTTTTTTGTAGTCTCTGTGTCGATAGGCATGGGTATTTCTTTATTACCAGAGAGTGCACGTTTAAACATTGCACATTTTTCTTTAAATGTTTTAAAAGGCTTAAAAAAGAAAGATTAGCTCAATAAAGCTTTCTTTAAACACTGTAAACTGTATATAGAACATGTGTACAGTATATGTGTTTACAAGCATTCTACCAGAATTCAGACAACATGCACATAAACACAGGTTTCTACAGTATAAGAGCAGGGCCTTTATCATGACCTTGACATTGTGCAAACTGCAATTGACTCACTGTCTCATTTTGATTTTATGCCCAAGGTAGCATCTGCTCCTGAGTCTTGGAGGCTCTTGATTAATATTTTTGTCTCTGTAATACAGTTGTTCCTATTTTTTTCTTATTTTCATATTTGTTTACATTTTTCATCGTCTTACTGTTTGTACTGTTTACAATCTGGTTTGACTTTATCACATTACCATATCAATTTATTTCATTCACAATTAACAGCACATCCATTATCGTCACTAGCCGAGAACCACGTGTGGTTGCTAATTAGCTTTTTGAAAGTTATTTTCGACTTATTTATGGCTGTAGTGTGGAGTAGTGATTATGACTCTGGACTCTAGAATACAGCATTGCAGGTTCAAATTCTAAGTGGAGTACTGCTATTGTACCCTGAAACATTGCAGTTTACTCAGCTCACTCATTTTTCGAGTTTGCTTTACTCCGCTAACCCTGCTTTACAAATGGGTACTCTCCATCATTTTAAATGATAACTTTTTCTCGATTAACGTACCAGGTTAGATAAAGGATTAAAAAACAAGTTTTTTGTTGACTGTAGGCTGTGTATGCTGTGTGTACTGTGTACCTCTTCTACTGAAATGTGAAATCACTGTTTGTGTCAAAATCTTTAAGACATGTTTACAATTTTATACTGTTGCCTGTTTGTTTTCTCTTCTTTAAGTGAAATCAACAATTTACTTTAACTTCCTTTATGAAGACTTTATAAAAATATAAATGTGTTATGACATGTTTGCATAGAAAATTTAAGATCTTTGTTCAAGGTTCATATGATCCTATTTTAAAATAAATAAAGATACTGTAACAGATATCTGCTGACATTCAGACTTATTGCTGCAGAGCTAGTAATCTTATCTTTTGCTCCTTTGTTTTGCCAACAGAGGATTACCACTATAACTGTCACGGTAACAGACATGAATCATGCTTGTTTTATGCTTGATGTATTTTTGTACAGCATGGTACCTAGCGTGTTCATACTGTGTTTAAGGACAAAGTTACTAACAAGTTTCTGCTGTGATGCATACTAGGCAGAAGGACATTAATCAAACATTTGAGGACTGAACATTGACGTCAGTTCTGTTGTGACATGAAAAGTAATGAAGCAAGCAATTGAATTAAACCACATGACAAACATGAAATACTAGCTAATGTGAGAATCTAGTTCAGTCCTGAAATGGATATTCATGTTTGTGATTACAGGTTCATTGTTGTTGTTCAATTTTTTTTGTCAATATCCCCTTCCACTGACCTTTTCATAAGTGGTCATAATGTATGTGTACTTCTAACATGAGAAATTGCATACTTTGTGACAAAACTGCAAAAACTTTATTTTTGCTTGTAAACCTAGGGTCCCCCAGGACCTCCCGGACCAGTAGGACCACAGGGAATAAAGGTAACCAGACCATCATTTTTGCCTTGGACACTGAGTAATACTTAAGCTACACTAAACTGGAACTCAGGTCTCCCAACGGTCGAAATGAGGAGGAAAGGGGTGATTTTATACAGCTTCAAATGATTGTATTTTATGTTCATAGGCTTTTAATAGTATATAATTGCTATATTTTACCATATCACTGCTTGATCTACTAATGCAGAATGACCTGTAGATCTGGAATTTAACTGGAAGTATATGTGGTCTGCATTTTTGCAGATATTCCTGAAATAATAAAGAGAAAAAGTTAAAGAACTAAACAAAATAGTTGTCAAGTTCCTCAAAACACAAACATGTCAAAAACATCTCATACTTTAAGTAAGCAATTTTAGATTCATAGGGTGTTCTAATCAGATACAAAATATCATCTACCCTTTTACCGTCTGTAAAATGCCTTACCTCACCCAGATGTCTATAATCTTGATATATATATAAATACGATATTTTGTTCAATAAATGAAGAACAAATATGCAATTCATGTCTAGTTCACACCTATAGTATAAATGTATTCTTCAAACAAAATATGGTTTACTTTTGGATAGATAGTCTAGAAGTACCATGTTCACTTGTGTTGATTTTGACCCAGTTGTCTTGGTTACAGGGAGAGCCAGGATCCACAGGTCTGCCTGGACTGGATGGTGAGAATGTACGTTACCAAATTATTTAAAATAATCATAAAAACATTCTTTGTGTTGTGATTAGGAGAGCAAAATGTTTTAATTCAGTTGCTTTGTATGTTTCCAGGGCCCTAAAGGTTCAAAAGGAGACATGGGCATTCCTGGCATATCTGGAGAGAAAGGAGCCATGGGTCTGCCTGGCCTACCTGTAAGATTACTTTTATCCTTAGCAACAACGTTCACCATCAAAGTGAGGTCTTTGCAGTAATGGTCTACTGTATAGTATGTACACCACCAAGTGTTTGTTGGAAAGGAAGAAAAATTTGTTTCTCTTTTTGTGTATGTCAATGTGTTTAAAACAATGTTTAATAGTGGTATTTGTCTAGATCTCACGTGGATATGAGTAGTTCTGCCAGGATTTATCATATTTACAGTAGTTTTACTTCTCACTTTATTTTGGCTCTATTATTTCAGTTACTTCAGTACTAAATTGTACAGTGTTGATTCCATTATTTTGGTTATATATTCATACAAGAAGTGATACAGTACGTGAGGAATAATGTGTATTCATGTGAAAACTGCATTGAGAATTCTGAAACAAATGCTATATATGCTTATCTGAAGAACATTTAAGGCTTCCAGACATGTCATTGTGATGATCAGTGTGATTTAAGCTACAGCGCCATAACATAGTGATGATCTACCTGTGGGCAAAGAATTGAATTGGCATACATGCCGAACATACAGCTCACACATGCTCATAAACTGTTCGTGTTTCCTAGGGTGTTAATGGGCTGAAAGGAGAAAAGGGAGATCCTGGTTTGCCAGGTCCTCAGGGACCTTCAGTAAGTACGCCTAGGATTTGCTTCCCCAGTTATCTTTCCCTTTCATGTTCAACCGTGTTCTTATGTCTTAGTTTGGATTTTCTCACCTCTTCAGCATTCAAGTGCATAAGAAACAACCTCCTCCATTTCTGCAGATGTCTCCCAAAAATGGTTTTACTGAAGAAGACTGGTCATGTTGAACTTGCAGCTGATAAAGACTTATTAGGCATAGCCAATCTGTTTCAATTTGTATCTTTGGTAATTTTGTTTTAAATTATGTCCTTTTGTGTTCACCTTTCATGTGGGGATGTTCTTTCTTTTTCTTGTTCTAGCTTCTTTTAACTTTAGCAAAACATCCTGTCAAGATGTCTCTTCTTGTATTGTAACTAAAGTTCTCCCCAAAACAGGTCTTGGATGCAACACTGAACATTTAAGTTTAGCTTTTCATGTCATTCTGCATAGGCTTTCATCCCCAAATCTAAAAATGGCACTGTTAACACTGTAAAGCTCATATTTTTGGAACTACCAATTTTGAGAATGAGACAAAAAAGAAATAAACTCTTAGGATGTGAGATCGTACAAGAGGTTCTTAAGTAATTCTCCCCCGCTCCACCTCTCCTCATTTTTTGCTTTTTTCACACAATGACTATGTTTCTTGGTTAGCTGTTATTAGTAGTTTGGGTGGGTTTCTGCATCAGCATGCGTAGGCTGCAAAGGAAAAAGTAATAGGTTTATTCCATGCTGAAAAGAGAAGAAAGAAAACACAAAATTTCGTCTGTGGAGCCTTCTTCGGCTGTAGGAAAAATAACATAGGGTTTAGGAAAGATAGATGTTTTTCTTTCTTCTCTTTTCAGCATGGAATAAACCTATTACTTTTAGCTGTTGTTAGTACACTATGTTGACCAATGACTTTTGCAAACCAGTAACGAGATTTGTGATGCATCTTGAGATGAATGTTGAGTTTTCTGAACACTTCTACATTGTAGGCGATAAAACAATAAAGAAAGAAAAACTTTTAATAACTTCACAATTAAAAGTAATAAACTTGATAAATAAAAATTTATATTAAAGATGTTTTATAAGGTATATTTTTTCACGTAGATTATAGGTCCTCCAGGAGCTCCTGGCCCACATGGTCCTCCAGGCCCAATGGTGAGTGTATGACTTTAAATAAGATGTATTTTTATAGTAACTGACCTTAGTAAGAGCTATGTAAAAGTAATGTGACAAAAATACCATGACACAAGGGCTATACACCATGGTAACTTCTTAGTGGGAGGCACACCTCACAATCCACATGCCCCAGCACTGTGTAACCTGTTCTATCTACTGAACATTTAGGAGAAGAAAGTTTTGAACAACACAGAAACTCTGTCTCTGTAAAACTGTTTATATTCAGGTTTTCCTGTTGTTATAAATTTGTTGAACTATACATGAGCATCTAGGACACTGGAGGCTATACTGCATTACATTACATTGAGAAAATGTAATTTGATAGCGTTTCTCGTTGAAAGAAATAAGGGATTCCCTGGCTTGCCTAATCATGAAGCAGCTCAGATTAAGAGAATCATATGGAACTTTGTGGCATCTCATGTAGAGTGAACAAGGAAGCAATTTGTCCCAATTACTAACATATGCACTGAAAATTCTTATACTTAAAAACGAATTCTAATTGACAACAACAACACGGCCAATAGGCTTATTCCAATCTGACAACCACTTTTGATACCCATTTCGATAGTTATTTTAAATATTCAATGGCTGTCTTCCTGGATAGTTGGCATTTCCATGATAAACTCCTTCCCTTACACAAAGGTGTTTATGAAGTTTTTCTACTTTAAAACATCCTACCTGCACTGTCTATGTTTGTGTGCAAAACTTAGATTATTGGGGATCATTGAATCACTTTTATACAGGAGGAAATGATTTATGTTTATTTGAATCTTTATGATGCCTATTTGCAGGGACCCCATGGCTTTCTTGGACCTAAGGTAAATCTGACAGTTTTGCAATTGTTTGGAGTTTTATTAGTTGTGTTTAATGTTTTTATTAATTAATGCTTTTATTAATTAAGCATGTTGGTGTGCTCACGGTTCATAGTCAAATTAATAGAAATGGTATTTTAGGCTTTCAGAAAAAAATAATAGAAGTTTTGCTTTAACATTGTAAGTACTGTCAATTTACTGCTTACACAATTGTTTTGTGCTTAACCTTTTGGATAACTGTTAAATGTACCAGTTTAACCATTTTAAATTAATTTGCTGCATCTTCCAGTGTGTTTGAAGAAAGTCTCTGAACATTTATTAGCTCTTCCAGAGAGTGCAGGCTAAGCTCTGTACTCCAGATGTTGCCAGTTTGGCCTCAGGCCAAGTTATAATTATCTGCCTGTGGTCCTGAGCAGGGCTGAGTGAAGTGCAGCTAGTCAGGGTTTGCTCTTCTTGCTGCACTTCAGCGAATCTTGGAACTGCCTGGTTCCTGCGAGCCAGCGGTGACATTGATAAAAGATGTTGCTCTCTCCAGTCAGTATTGGGTTCCTCATAATGCACTGCAGAGACAACAATGTGTCAAATGATACACAACCCTGACAAGAGTCAAAATCTTGTGTGTGTGAGTGCACGGGTCCTCATTCTCTCCCTACTGTACAGGGATTGTAACAGAGAGTTCATCTGGTTTAGAATTGGACATTATCAACTAAGAACGAATAATGTAACTGCAAATTTTAGATTAAATTAAAAAAGCTTCATGTCAAACCTATAAAACACTGGAATTTGCAGTGGCTTGATGAGGTAGCCTAACGTTTTCCCCCGCTTAAATTACCTGTTTAGCACACAAGCCTACCTCTGCTACTCTTACATTTAGGGTGAACCAGGGTTGAATGGTCTTAAGGGAATGAGAGGGGAGCCAGGGCACAAGGGTGACAGAGGACCCCTTGGTCTCCCTGTAAGTACGGCACATCTCTTCAGATCTAATTTTCTCTACCACACAACTCTGGTTTGCTCAGCCACACCCCTGTGTATTTAGTAGAGCTCAAACTTCATGCAATAACACATCCTAAACATCATTAAGTGTCATTTGTGTTCTGTCACTCATTTCTGTTTGTTTTGTTATATATCTGTCTATATTAGTTCTATAGTGGCAAACCCCAAAATGCAGATGATCAGAAAGATGATGCTCATTCTCATAATGATGGTCTTAAATCCAACAATCTTTACTGCACTCAGAAAAATACTAAAGTAGAACAGAAATAGAGAAAATTTGCTTTTTATGTACCGCATTACAGGTAGTTTGGAGTTTTAGAAATTTTAGAAGTTCAAAAGAGCATTAAATATTCTTGATGATAACATTTTATACTGTTAGAATTATACTGTGTGTATCCTGTAATTTAAGTATTTTTTAAAATATTGACTTAGTTCTGGGACATCAATAAAATAACTGAAGAAGCAAACTATAGTGTAGGTCCTTTGAAGGAGCTTTAATATCTTTTAAGCTCACATTTTTCCACCTTAGGTTTTAAAAGAGGAAATAATACAAAGGGAGTCAAGTATGTAAAACCGCTTTTACAACTAGTCTGCCAAAAATGTATTTACTTACATCAATCAATAGATTTAGTTAGGGTTAATGTTAAGTCTTCTGTTAAATTTATCTTTAGTGGTTTAAATGCTTAAAAAATTCAGACTCTTTCAAATTTGGAATTGTGAGCTAGTCTTGCAGGTGAAATCTGAAAAACATCTACTGTATAAGTCTATATTCATAACATTCTTCACATAGAGATATAAACAAGGATATAAAAAGAAACATATTCCAAATTAATTTTCTCTTTTCACAAAATAGTCATAAAAAATATTTTGCTTAACATTGTTTTATATGTATGTCTGTATTTGTAACAATGTGTTAACTGTAAGCTTCACAGTTATGTTTTGTAAGCTACTGAATACCTCCATTTTTGTTATAACTGCATCAACGTATGTGTCCATTTCATTGTTTTCCATCATGTACTAAACCCTTGTTCATGTCACTCATACCCTCATAATTATACAGGGAGCATCTGGCTTAGATGGAAAGCCAGGACTCAGGGTGAGTGTCTCAAGTCCCAGCTTTCTGCTAACAACCAGTCTGCCTCCCTTAAGCTTTCATTTAATACTAATAATAACAGAGAGAACTTTCTTTACTATATTTACACATAGATATATACTATGTATAATAATTAGAATGATCACAATGCTGCATAACCTCATTTTATGCCTTTATTGTCTTCATTATATGCCAAATCTATTGTTATTCCAAAAGAAACCAAACTACTTTTTCTCTTTCATTTGCTTATGTTATTACTATGTAATTAACATGATTTTAACACTCATTGATTAATAGTGCTCTTCTAAATCTACATATTGTGTTGTATTTAAACTCATGATTACTTTTACCAGCAACTTTTTAACAATTTTAGCAACAATTTGTAGCTGATATGTTCTACATTACAATTGTGTTTATATCCACATCTAAATTGTCATGTGTACAAATTACCTCTAAGCTTGATATAAGAAATGATTAAAAAAAATGTTTATCTGTCGTACATCTGCCAAGGCCACCTATACTTTACAAAAAATGTCACGATTTTTACATTTCAAATTTAAACTTGCTCCTTTATTCTGTATCTGGGTTACAAAGTCTAACCTGAATTGCAAGATAATAATAAATGGTCATTTAAGAGCACTGAAAAGTTATTGAAATGTAACCTCACAAAATGAAAAAAACATCAGTCACTGAAAAAATGAAAACTGTAGCTCAACTAAATCAGTCTGGTGAAACAACAAAACAAATCATTTTAATAATTGTTGTTCTGGAATATACATTTTTTGTGACTGCATTCTAGGTCATAGTGCAGCATGTGTTTTGGAACATATACAGGATCATTCTTCATTACTTTCCATTCCAATGCTCTTCCTATTCCTGAATTCAAGTGTACATTAAACTAAAAAGGACACAAATGCTGTTTTATTACATAAAAATGTTACTTATGGGAGGGATGTTGGTTCAAGGTGGAAAAAGATTTGTGAAGCTGTTAAAGTAACCCCAAAAGCACAGGGGGGTTTAATTATATCTACTGTAAGTAATAACTTTGTTGTTGTCACCTAAAATTGGAATAGTAGCTTTGATGAATTCAAGTTAATTATTTCATTATTTTAGACATTACTTTACTATTGTTCATCTAATGTTTGTCTGTGGCTGGAAATTTAACATCTTCCTCTTATTTATAAAGAATATGTACATTTGTTTCTGATACCCTGCCTCATTACCTGCCATGTGTTTTCTCTGCAGGGAATGGACGGTCCAGTTGGTCCTACCGGTCCAGCAGGTCCCAAAGGTGACAGGGTAAGTCCAGCAAGATTTTTACAGCATTAAAATGTGTTTTTTTTTTCAGAATGTCCTCACAGGTGTAGATCATACAGGGCCGTTTGCTTGAAGAGATGAATACATATCCTACATTAGGATTTTCAAGACATATGGTTTGTTTCCTGAAGCATATTGTGACATCTTGACAAAGCACAGCATGGTACTGTACAGCAAAGCACAACTGAAAGTGAAATGACCTGCAGGATGGGGTAGTGGTTAGGGATCTGAATAATTGGAACATTGTGGTATTCAGATCCAGGGTAGGACACTGATGTTGTTTCCTTGAGCAAGGTGTTTAATTTTAATTGCTCCAGTAACATGTTAAGGTGTATAAAAGACTGCATATGTAAATCACACAGCTAAAAGTGGTAGCCAAAAAAAAAATCAAGAAATATGTTTCTTACTGGACCTTTTGCTTTTGATGTTTTTTTAGCCAGCACAGCTGTAAGGTATAATGTTAGATTTTCAAAATGCATCGCTTTTTATTTTCAACTTGCAGCTTTTTATACTACACTCCTTGGTCAGCTGGTTAGCTTAGAAAATTAAATCTGACCTTGAGTTGACGAATCAGAAGGTCCATAGGTAACAGATAATATTGTCTTGTAAGGGTGAAAGAGGACCACCTGGTGAACCTGGACCAAGAGGACCTTATGGATTACCGGTGAGAATCAAATTCAGATATTTCCTGAAACACACAAGTTATATACATTAAGCTTCAAAACTATTTGTCATATTAATATTATTCAAAGAACTTTTGTTAGCTGAAGAATACCCAGTTTCATGTTTAATGGCATTTTTCTTTTATTGTCAGGGCACAGCAGGAGCACCTGGATTAGATGTAAGTACAAGGAAGCAGGAAAGAACATTGTTATTTAAAATAAAGCCTTTGAAGTTATTTCCTAATATTGGAAGCATATTACACAGTACTATTCTTACTGTGGATGTCTTCATTTTTCTCTTTGTTATTATTTTACACAGAGTATTTATGACATTTATAATCGTTTAAATATTTCTAAGATATCAGAAGACAACTCCACAATTTAGTGTGATTATTTAGACTGTATTCATATCTCCCTATTTGGGTTTCTATTTGTTTTTAGTATATCTGAAATCTGGCATATTCTAGAGTTAGTCGTCGGAGGTTTTTTGTTCACACTAAGGACTAAAGGTGATTGTAACAAGACCAAGCTATATTTTGCAGGGGTTACCAGGCTTAAAGGGAGAGAAAGGAGATCTTGGTGACAGAGGAGAAAAGGTGATACATATTGTATTTCTGGGAAGGTTCAGTAAGGGAGCAGTTGACTCTGTAACACATTAACACCCACTGTCTGTTGTCAATGGACAAAATAGGTATTTTTTTTAAAGTTCACTCTTCTTGACTGTCTAGTTATAAACAAATATATTCATAATGAAAATTACTGAAAGACTGATGATATTTTAACATGAAGTATTAGAAAATTGATTTTGTATTATCTTAAGAATTGAAAAATTTCCACACTTTGCTACTCTGAATTAGCTATCAGAAAATTAGAAGATTCTCCATTGCTTAAGTATTCAACTCCTTAGTTACAGCAGCCACAAAACAGCTCAAGTGGATAATAATTGAAAGGTCACAAATTTAGTGTAATCAAGATGGTTTAACTTAACTTCAGAGTAAATACATCTGTATCTTTATGTTTCCTCAGTTACTGTAGATACTGTATTGAATTTCAAGCCACAACTCACATACAGATAAACAAATCAACTATGAATTCCCAGGAGTTTTCAAAACAGATCAATAAAGGGGTAGAAAAGGACAGATCATAAAAGGTTACTTATCCCTTGGAGTAAAATTGAATTGATCATTTAGAAGTGTAATTTGCATCATGCCAAAAAGACACTACCCTGGTCAAGCTACCCTTCTAAACTGAGCTGCTGAGCAAGCAGGACACTATCTTAGCATACCACTATAAAACCAACAGTGACTTTGAAAGATTACAATTTCTGTGTCTGAGAAAGGAATCACTATTACTACATTCACAAAATATCCCAGTTCCGACACAAAGCTGCCTCCAGATGGACTCCAGTTAAATATACTGTGTAAGAAATATTGCAGGTAAAAAAATACTAATTGAAAGTTTTGCTCTAAAATAAGCTGTGTAAGATAAGCTCAACACAGCATATCATCTAGTCAGCAAAATTCCAACAGTCAAGCAAGCATTGTCATGGCAGCATCATTTTAATAGGATGCTTTTCATCATGCAGGGACTGGAAAGCTTGTTAAGACTGAGGAAAAAGTAGGCGGTACAAAGTATAGGCAAATCCTAGCAGAAAACCTAATTGAATCACCCAAGTATTTAAAGCAGGTTCAAATGGTCACATTTCAGCAGGACAGTGACACATGGTCATAGTCACACTGAAGAGATCTAATAAAAAGAGACTGAATGTCTTGATGAGACCAATCAAAGCCCTGACTTGAATGCAATAGAATATGCATTGTGAGGCTTGATGATATTATGAAAATAAATTATCCAAATTGTAGCTTTTTAGCCCATAATAATAGAGATTATTACACCATCCCACTGCGCAATGCTGGTAGGGACTGACAGCATTAATAGCTAGCAAATGTGCTTCCACTATGCACTAAGTGTACTAAGGAGGTAAATGCTTATGCAAACAGTAAATTTCACTTTGTATGACATCCATCATATGTAACTCTTCAGTTCATCATTATATTTTTAAAAAGTCTTGGTTGAAAAAAACCATATATACATTAATTGTAATTAATCAAAATGTGATACTATTGGCAGGGACTGAATACTTCTTAAGACACTGTAAATTATAAATCATGAAATTTGCCAAACAGCTACAAGTACAGTATTTCTAAGAAAATAAAAGATGACCATATGAGAATTATATTTTTTGTAGTTCAGGTGGGTAGCCGCGTCAGCCTGCTTAGGCTGCAAAGGAACAAGTAATAGGTTTATTCCATGCTGAAAAAAAAAGAAGAAAGAGAACACAACGTTTCGGCCGTGGAGCCTTCTTCAGGTGTGGGCCGTGGAGGTTCAGGTTTCGGTTCAGGTTTCGGTTCAGGTTTCGGCCGTGGTTCGAGTTTCGGCTCCACAGCCGAAACGTTGTGTTCTCTTTCTTCTTTTTTTTTCAGCATGGAATAAACCTATTACTTGTTCCTTTATATTTTTTGTACTTACTACTCATGGGATGAAAGTTCTGGTTTTCTCAAGAATACCTCTCTAAATTTATTTACCAAACTAAACTTTGTAGAGTTTTTCAGTCTGAAAAAAGGATGCCCAAAACCTAGTCCTAAAAAAGTGGAATTCTTGTTATGTTTCAAGAATGCATGAATCAGATACCATATCAAGTGTTGGAATATACTCATGCAATAAGTCCTTAAGGTAACTTGGAATTAAATTTTTCAGGGCCTTATACAGTTTGTAACCAAGAGAACTTAATACAGTTGTCTGATATTAATGAAAAAGTCATGTATCTATATTTCAGCATCAGATAGACAAAGCAAGAAACATAACCGGCCAATGTTACAAAGGTGGAAAGACGATACCCTTAAGACGTTTCTAACATGAGCTTCAAATGACAGCACAGGCTAAAAAATAACACCAGGGTTTCTAACCTTGGATAAATGGGTCTCCAATACTAGATTTTGAGCACCCTGAGTAGTCTGACAGAGAAGCTATTTTGATATCAAGGTAAGCTGAGAGAATAGTAGTCCATTGACAACAGTCAGTTAATAGTTACTTACCACTGCTTCTGGTTTTATTTTATTTTAATGCATGTACATTCTGATATGTCATTGCCTAGATTGAACTGTCTAAACCAACTTATAAAATCTTAATTTTCCTTAAATGGTGTGCTCAGTCAAAGGAATACAGCATCTATTTAAATATACTTTATAGCTGTGCTTTTTTATTTTGTCAGTTTTGAATGTAGGTAGAACAGTTTAATTTTTCATATTTTCTATATCACATTGGAAAATGTCTGCTATTAACCCACAATTCTTTACATAAAATGATGCTGTATTTTTAAAGCCATTTCCATATAGCAGGGTTCTGCAGCCCTGGTCCTGGAAAGCTACACATTTTATAAAATGTTGAGATGTGTGACAGCAGAGTTTGTCACTGAACAATTTGGCATTTACCTTGATCAAATCTAAAAGATAGTATTGTTGTACCAGATAAGGGTAATACCCAACCCTCAATAATGCATTAATTGTATTTTTTACCAGTTCATTAAACAGTTGATTCAATAGTTATACTTTTCCAGGAATGGACTTGGCTTCCTGTATTAGTGTCAAAAACAGTATTGTTTTCACTGAAATTGTGTCCCTTTTTTGCAGTTAATCATACATTCATCAACATATACATTCATGTATGTACAGGTATACCTATATTATTTCATTAAGGCACTTTTGACATTTCTGAAGCTTAGATTTGAATCAAGTATACATATGCAAAGTTTCTCATCTATTAATTATCCACACTGTCTTTGTATCACTTCTGTTTTGTTTGAGCGTGCCATACAGCATCGCCCAAATAATTGAACTGTATTTCAATTGATTGAAAAAAAAATCCAGTATGTACTCTATGTACTCTCCTGTACTCTAATGTCATGTTCATGACAATAGAGTGGCAATAGGACAAGTGCTGTGGTTTGTATGACAAGAAAGGGATGCAAGTTCATGTGTGTTTTGTAACCTGGAGGCACTTTCCCTGCTACTCCTTCTCTCACCTCCTGCCCTCTGAGACCTTTGTACACTGGCTTTTTCCCATCTCCTCCCCTGTCTACCCTCAAGAGGAACTTCCTGACAACTGGAACACCCTTGGTTTTCCTTCTGGTGCCTTTCCCTATCTAACTTACCCTCCTGTCACTTATCACATCCTCCCTTGACCTAAAGAGGTAAAGCTCTCCTTTAATATCCTCCCTCATAATAATTATTGCAGTGTATCCTAATGCTCAGATACAATGAGAGCGACCATTCCAATATTGGTGCTTTCTGGTGAAATAGCTTCTCTAACAACTTTCAAAGTATTTAGCTGTTGGATTGGAAACTTTTGGAGGAAAGCTTTAAAATGACTATCCCCTTCTTTGACAACAAGCAACGTTTGAGCAGTAAATTTCAATATTTTGTCTCATAATTGCAAGCACATAATATGACACTTTACAACTTTATTTTATATAGCAAACCTTACTCATCTCAAACCTTGCACTTTACATAAAAATGTATTAATCACAATTAATTATGAATGCAAGAAAACAGCCGATACAGAAAAGAAATAGGCCCTTCTTGTTAGACTAGACTCTGGTTTCTTATGGGATTGAGTTCGAGTCAAGAACTGGCGCTGTGCATGCTACGAACCTAAGTAACCAATTGTGTTAAAAGAAGTTATCTTTAGCAGACAGGGAATTAGGAAGATGTGCCCGATTTTGGAACACTGCCAATCTGATAAGCACAGACAAGTGTGAAAAAAATATTCTAGTTTAATTAATTTGAGAAAAATACACCAAGCGTCTCTGTGTGTTTCGCTCCCACGTGCATGTAATAAAAACTTCTGAGACAGACTCCTGACTTTTAAGAGAAAGTGGGGGAAAATTCTCCAACAGCACCATTTACCCATACAGTGTAGTGGGAGCACATAGTAAATCCAAATCTGCTGAGCAAATGGGAGTAATCAGTTAACATTTCAGCTATAGACTGGGGAGTCAAGCAATGCAAATCCTTGCATGTTAGCCAAATAGTTTAAAAAACAACTCAAAACCTGACAGGAAGCCAGTTCAGGAACTCTAATGTGATCACTTGCACACAGCCTCGTCAGGATTCTGTCTGCCCCATTTTGACATCATTGTAACCTGTTAAGTATAATTTTAATGACTCTGACAAGTTGGGCATAATAATCAATTATCAACTGAGAAGACAACAGTTTTTTAGCTGCAGAAACAGGTAGCACACGATACAGTCTGACAATGTTTCTGAGATGAAAAAAACAACTGTATATCTTTACCATGTTTTGCCCATGAGCTTCCAAAGTCAATCTAGGATTGAAGATCATTTCCAGTTCTTATTTTTGTTTATTGAAAGTCAAGGATAGTGCTATCAGTTGACAAGATTACAAGGTCTACAGCACAAGCAAACTTATTTTACAAGGTTTTATGTAAAATCTACATTTTTGAGTTTGTACTTCCACCTGCAAAGGAACATGTTTTATCAAATTGTTCCACCATTTATTGGTAGGAAATATAGCAAAAACGGCATCTTCAACTGTACTACAGAATGATCTAACTAGATATAGATCAGTTATGAAGACACATACAGAGCCACTGATATTTTAGAATTTAGTGAGCATCACACTGTTCATCTTTAGAGTCCTTAACTTAGACATCAAAGGTCTAAATTTCAGATTCATTAATGTGGCAGAACATGTTGGGTCTGCTAATTATTTTAAACATATCCTTTATGAATCCAACCAAAATCTACCACACATTTGCTTGTGCGTTAAAATAAATATTAAAAAACAATTATAACAATTTAAGACACAAACCCTCCTTTTTTTAGTTCTCCTTAAAGTGTTGTTCTCTTGAGCTACTGTACCTTAACTCTCAAGCACTAAATGGTTGCCCTCATTGGATCTGAAAGACAAAGTGAAAAGCTTTCCTCTGTGAAAAGAAAATAATTTTCCTGATCAAACCATTGTGTCCACAGGGGGAAAAGGGAAAGAAAGGCAAAAAAGGGCCTAAGGGGGAGAAAGGTGAACAGGGTGCCCCTGGATTAGATGCACCTTGCCCATTGGTATGTCTCAGCTAAGTTCTGAAAATCACCTCGATATGGCATAAGACAATCACAACTAGGAGAGAAGCACCTAGTGGCAGCACCACCATGTTATCAGTACACACAGCAATTAGCGCCTTCATCATTCTGAACTCTTCATTTTTGAACATCACTATCACAGGGGAAAAAACAATCGGGCCATTTTAGTGTGAACCTTTCCTCTGAGCTTAAAATATTCTGAATTCACAAAACACATTTAACTGTAAGGGCTTTTCATGCCTTTAAGCATTTTTGAAAGATGTTCCTGCTGTCACATCAGCTGTTTAAAACAACTCCAGCATTTTCTATAGTACCCAAATGCAAAACAGGTTAATAGACTTACCTTTGGGGCAGTCTTGCGTTGTATACTGTCTAAAGGGCTGATACATGAGTTGGTGGAAAGCTGGGCTGCTGCTCTCTTCAGTTGCTGTGCTTTCAATGGCCCTCTCTGATGGGGCTGGTGAGATCCTCTCCTAGTAACAATTCCAGTTAATTTTTGCAAACAGGGATTCCGGGGATTTAAGGGTGAAAAGGGGGAACCAGGTCAGCCTGGCCTAGATGGGCTGGATGCCCCCTGCCAATTGGTACAGTATTCTCTTTCCTACCAAACCTGTATGCATGTTTCTTTTTACCTACCTACAATGCAAAGGTATTCAACTGAACACACCGCCTTTGTATTTCCATTGATGCATGGCTTGCGCATGGGTCAAAATTCACTTTTACCTTCCACATGAAATTAAGTGTGCATGATTTCCAACTTATTTAAAACATAAAGATTTTCCACTACTTTTAACTTTTTAAGATATCACAAGAAGACAGTGTTAGAAATGTTCCTTCCCCCTGTACCATTAACTTGCAATACAGTGCCTGGATCTAGCTGCCAGATTCATGCTGTAACAAAAGCTTGACGTAACAAAGGAAAGGTTCCGAAAGTTTTGTTTTTTTTATTTGAAAATCTTAAAATTATTTTATTAGTAGTAACTGTTTTGCATCAAGTAAAAGCCTGATATGAGGCATTTTATCTTTTCCAACAATAGGTGCACAAAATCATATACAATGCCCATCTGTGCTTAGGCAAGTGAAGGTTCTTAGCACTGGCATTTGTGAATATGGCCAAAATCTGTTGCAGTTACATCATGAGTAGCATCTGAGTGTAAACCAAAGGGAATGAAAACGAACCCATTCCATCCCAGTTTTTTAACCCCTTTTTATATTTTATACCCTTTAACTATTTCTAACTATTGTTACCATTATTATTATTATTAGATAAGGTTTTTATACTTACATCTCTGCCTTTTATATCTTACCTAATAAACTGTTTCACTTTTCAGTGGAGTGCTAGCATGGATCCTCTTCTTTACTGTTAACTGTTTCCTCTCCCTGCCTTGTCTTCTTGTACCAGTTTGGCAGTATACTGTATCATACATGGAGTTTAAAGCAAATGTTCAGGAGGAGGTCAAACCCTATTCTCGCCCACTTCAGCCTACCTAGATATAAATGTCCTGCTAATTTCTTACTTACATGTGTATTATTTTCGGTGCGTTTAGTTTTTACATTAGCTGTTTGCTCACACAATATACAGACCTTATCATTCAGCTCTCTATGGCCACCCTCTTTTCCCATCCTTTCCCTCTCACTCCTCCTTTGGTCTCTACTCAGTCTGCTTTTTTTCTTCCTTTTTCCTCTTTTCACCTTATCTATCATTGTTGGACATCCTTGCCCACCCACCTAAGACTTCAGCATTATCATATCTTTTCCCCCCCTTATTTCTTTCCTTTTCCACCTCTTGGCTCCACAGGAGCTCCTCACCCAGCCACTAAAGCTTACTCTGCCTTCGATGTGGCTCAGTCCTCTTTCACAGCCCTCACCATAGTGTAGAATGTGGCAGTGAGACTTCTGCCCTCTATTCCCTGCTGTGTCCAATATGGTGCAGTATCAGCCCCTGACTCCTGATGACATTATCCCTCCAGTTCAGCCACTCACCAGGAGCCTCTTCCTGTCTCCTCCTCTATCTCTTCCACCCTGCTGAGTCCAAAGAGATACCTATACCTTCATTCCTTCGCTTCACATCACATCACCTCTGCTTTCTCACTGGTTGTATCAGAAATGTTTCTAAAACTATGGATACCAGTCTCTCTCTTCTGTGGCTGCTTTGCTGAACTCCTAACTCTCTGCTCAGGTCATCGCCTGCTTCAGTGAAATCATTACACAATTCTTTTCCCTGCTGCTCTACAAGAGCCCGTCCATTGATGCCTGCTTTCCCTGCACCAATTTTCCGTTCTATCCATTTCTTACTTATGAATTAATCCTTTAAGTATAGCCCTGCACATGTTCTGGCTAACTGTCTCATCATCGATCTTTCTCTTCTTCATAACTTCTCTGCACCCAACCGTAAAAAGTCAAATCCCTCTTTCTGCCTTTCCTCTGCACTATCATAAGTTAAGGATCAAGTTTTGGTCTTATGGGAGCAGCATATTCAAACTTTTCCCTGTCTCTGGTCAATTTGGTCTTGCCTCTGCCAATCATGTTAACCCAATAAAGCTCACTGTTCAAATTGTGCCTGTTCTCTGTTTTAATTATGGTTTGGCAAAACTACTGAAAACAAAACTTCAGATGGAGGACAAACCCTAATCTCAACCACTTCCACATACCAACATATACAGTAAATATGTCTCTTGCTTTCCCACTTACTGTACATCTTTCATTTTGGCAATTTTCCCTCCTCAAACATCTCTCTCTTTCAGCAGCCCCCTGGCTTATCCCCTATTTAAGGGTGGGGGGTGGGGGGGGCCCTGCATTGTCGTTCTTCTCAGCCAAGTGAGTTACCCCATTCAGCCTCCTATTTGAACCAAGCCTCTTCTCTGTTAATGAATTAGGGTTTGACCTAACTTCTGTAAACAAACCTAGGGAGGAAAATGAAGGAACTCCAAAAGTTCAATTGTCTTTTTTTCAATCTGGTTGTGTTAAGGCATACACTCATGTGTGTTATTCCTGTTTTCATTTGGAGATATATTGATATGCAGTGTGTCTATAGTGGAGGTAATAATAATAAAAACGGTACAGTATGTAATTGAATTGATTTTCTGGAAATGTAGTGCGTATAAGAAATTACAACTTTGCCTTTATGATGATAGCTGAAAATGTACATTTTGTAAACCGTTAATAAGAATTTCAAGTAAAGACAAAGTTTACACCGCCCATTACATTAAAGATGATAAGGAAATACCGAATTGCAGAACAAGCAAGGAGTGGAATGAATAAGATTAAAAATGTCATTAAAGGAGAAAGTGTTCTTTATACAGTATATACATATACACTATATGGACAATCAAAATTATTAGACCAATACCAATACAAATTAATGGACAATACTAAATAAATACAGTGTTTCCTGTATTTATTCTTATTTTGATCAAATATTTATTGGTCAATCGCAGTTTAGCCATTATTTTTTTCTTAACTGAGCAATGTTTTTAGTTTTGTCCCATTCCCTATTGATCCATATTCTCATAGATATCTTTTTCCCGTTTCCTTTGATTCAGTTCCCTTTGATACAATGGAAAGCTGGGTTCAGACTAGGACAAACTATTAGCCTTGTACTTCTGAACAATCAATTTTCCTTCTTTATGCTTGGACTACTTTTAAACATCACTACTCACCTGCTTATTGTGTTCAGCAATCCAATTTGCAATCAAATCATTTATTTTTCTGAGTGGAGAGTACTCTCAGATACAAAATGTATACAACATGTTATTCTTAGGAATAACTTGCAAATACATTGAAAAATGATTCAATTCTAATATCTTAGGAAATGCATACAATTATTTTGCATAGGACACATTTATTTATAGTTATCCTTTCATGGCAAGATTTTACAAAGGTGCCATCCAAATTGGTGTATATAAATTTGCCATTAAATGTTGAAATCACTTGGACCACAACATTTATGTATGCTATCATGTTTTATTTAGCTTTGCCCATGACAGACGCTGTGATATTATTTACACACTGAATATTGTGTTTTACAAATTAGCTTTATGCAATGTGTGCATGGAAGTTCATTTTATACAGTGAATGCATAAGGGAACATTTTTTAATTTTTGCTATCATAGTACTGTATATTCTAACAGAACATATTTATTAATTTAGCACATTATTAGTACAAACAGTTCTAACGAGTATTTAGTAATGGCACAATTAGGACTGATTGCATACATTAATACCTGCAGTAATTGTGAAATGTTGATTTGTCTAGTATGATTGTTCTTATGTGCAAATCAATGTGACGTTTATATCTATTTATGAAAAATTAAAGATAAGATATTGCAGTACAGTATGTTAAATAAATAGAAGATTATAATTTTCTTACTGCATGATTTACATTTTTTATTTCTTTACTAAATTATAATACAGAATTATCAATTTGTAATATTTGTTTTCAAAAAGAACCTATCCTTTCTTTTGCAGCAAAAATACTTCTTTGTACTATTGCAGTCTGTGCTAAGAATTTAAACAATAAGACAACACAAAATCTGGAATAAAGCACAATTAGTGATCATATTGTTGAACCTGCATTAGACTATACAGTATTTATTTTAATGAGGTCATATTAATAATACATTTGTTGTGAATATTCATCACAAATTCATTTAAAAAATAAAGTTCTCACCGGGTTTATAACCATTAAGATCAGAACCATGCTTCTAGCACATCTCTTTCGAAAAAGACTAAGCAAACTTTTTTCATTTTATTTTTTCAAACTTCAGGGACCTGATGGATTACCAATGCCTGGATGTTGGCAGAAGGTAAGTCAATTAAGAAATAAAGTCATCAAAGTCTCTAAACCACATCACAACTGTCCATTTCATTAATTCCCGTGTTCTGTGCTTAAATCAACTTATGTAGAGAGTCATAAGAAAGTAAAACTAGTTGTAGAATAGAATATGTGGTCACTGGTTAGTTTTTTTTTTGGGTCTCTGAAACATTGAGGACTAACTGCTCTCACTAATCTTTTTAATTTTATAATGATGCCTGTGTTAGCCAGGACAAAAATATTTAGTCTGTGCTAAAAACAATAAAATTACAAAATAAAAATATTTAGATGTGACTCTAATTCAAGTTTCAATTAAAGGTTTCTGTTTTACACAGAATTGCCAGTTATGCCACTGCCTCCTGCTGTGAATAGATTATCGGAAAGAGACTGCAGAAATCATTATTTTAAAAGTATTTCTGAATGGGTTGATGTCTGTGCTTTCCATTTAATACATACAAATGGGGAAAGGATTTAACCTCCAATGTTAGCCTTTATACTGTTGATTTAGCACAGTAACACACAAACACCATCCACGTGAGTGCATTAAACATGTCAAGGATAATACATAAAATTCCATGTGGTAAAATAATCATTCAGATTAATATGTTACCTGATGGATTTTTTTCTTTGTGTTTTTTTTTGCAGTGATGAATCTAACCCAAAGCATGAAGTTTGTACATAATGCTTCATCTTTTGTATTTATAGTTTTTTAATTGAATATATATATATAAGAAAGCCCATGAAATGTTTTCATGTAGCTGCTTCTACTCATCTGCAGTAACAAAGTGTGTACTCTCAAAACAGTATTAAGACTCTGGAGACAATTCAAAGGACAACAGAGTTTGCGAAATGCAGAAGTCAAAATTCTGCAGAAGCCTGCTGTTTTGCTTGCATGGAGCAAAACCAAGGACAAGTTAGGAAAAAGTGACCAAAATGGAAGAAAACAAATTACAATAATAAAAGAAAAAAATCATTGAAGAGACTGACCATGCTGTAATGGGAGACAATTGACTTTTTGTGTTCTTCTTTAGGTCATTATCCATTCATGCCATAATACGAGCTTGAAAAACTAAAACTGTCATGCCAATTAAATAAAAAGCATGAATGATGTGCCAAATTAGGAATATATAAGTCTAAGTATATATTGCTTGTGGTGTGATAGATTTACAGTATGGCTTTTTCAAACACTAACTGGCTGCTGGTTCATTGCTATTTAAAAAAATATATATAAAGCTCTGAACAGTATTCTTTCTTTTGTCATCTTCCAAAGGGAGTCACACCATGGCTGGTGGCTTGAAAAGAATTGATCCCAAAGGAATAGAGATGGGTCATTCTTTTTTGTTCTTTATTGGGTGAGGCCTTCAGTGGTTTATGATCTACAGATCTTCACCTTACACTTGTGTGGCTCTCATGCCCTGTGCCTGCACACCTGGTTTTCAAGCTTGTTGAGGAAAACAGCATTTTGTCATTTTGGTGAGCAGAGAATGAGGACCATAAACACTGTCTGGTATGGACTGATTTAGACTGACAGTGATTCAGACAGGAGACATCGGCAGCTCCACACAGTTGTATTGATGGGATTCCAGTGGACTAGCAGTGTTTCAGATTCACACGAAGAATCTTTGATGAAAGGAGAGGACCTGCAGTCCTTTTTTCCTGAGAGAGAAGATGCCTCTTCAAAGGCCTGCGGTCATTCAGGTTCTGTGCCAACGAAGGGATCGGAGTCATCTCTAAGGTGATTCCAAAAGAAAGAGTTTGACTGCTCACTTGAAAAAAAGGATTTTAACAGAAGGATGTTTTATTATTATATGTCATTATTCATATTCATATTTTTGCATAAAAGCCTTTGGCACCTCAAGAATTTTTTTGGTGCCTTGAGGATTTTTTATTTATTCCTTTTTTTTGTGGAAACATTAAGAAATCACCAAGGCTTAAGCATGGGGAATGATATTGTATTATGTACAATATACCAGTATTAACCCAGCAAACACCAAACTTTTTAATACTTTCTTTGAAAAATGACCTTAAAAGTCATTGAAAGGTTGCACTTGTGTTATTTTGGACAAATTGCTTTAGCAAGTTTTTTGCAGCCTTACTAGGAGGAATATCAGACATTCAGACATAACATTAAAACCTCATTACAAAAACACCAGACATTTATGCGATGCCCAGTATATGTATTTACAAGATGTTACATGGGTATGTTTTGTAGACATTATTAAGTTGGAAAATGTGAATTCAGCAGCATTGTAAACTATAACATTATAAAGAATGTTTGGACAGCATCCCCTGTAGTCTAAAGATTTGCATTGTCAGGTTACAGTACAAATTTGTAACATTTTTATAATATTTTCACAATGTTATTTGGTTGGCTGGGAAATTGCTTGAATACAAGTTACTATATATGTTGTTTTATGCACATACTCTGAACAATCTTTTCAAAGCTATTTGTAATCTTCAATATTATCTTCAATATGAACTGAAAACACTGCTTCAACAGACTTTTGCCTCTAATTAAGTGAAAAGGGAATTTACAGCTTTTACAAAGGGTTGATATATACATATATATTAAAAATATGGTTTCCTTTACCTCTAAATTGTGTCACTGAACTGACTGACTTAACTTGAAATATTCAAAGAGAGTTTAATATATTTATAGACAATTTCTGTACAATATTAACTAAGTGACTGTGATGTAGTCATGAAAATTCAAATTGCCTTTTCCTCATTTTTTCAAAATCCTTAATAGAATTTGAGAAGAAATTTGGCTAGTTTTTAAAAAAAGTCAGTCTAAGCACAATCGGGATAGTTCCTAATCTGACAGACCTCCTTTTCAATTTTAGAAGAGTTGCTTAGTTTGTTAAGACATTTAAATTAGACCTTACAATTCCTTTATTAAGGTTTAAAAGGTTTCATTAACAATGGTGCTGTGCTTTCCCATACATATTGTTTGTGTTAGAATTTTTTATCTTCCTTTTTTTATTCTTCAAAGTGTACCTCTCTTAAAAAGTACTAAAAATCATCTACATTTAAAATAGATGGTTGGCTAATAGCAAATGGAGCTGCAGCATTTTTTGCTTGAACACATTTCTGGTGGCCCAATTGATAAAATGTGTTTAACTGTTAAAATTGATTGATAAAAAAGATAGTGGTGAAATAAGGATATGCTTTGCCTAAAACTTACTCACTTGACAACCACTGAATTAATTGCCCTTTTTCTGTTCATCCTAAATTATCCTAAATGTGGAATCCTAAAGTAAATCAAATGACACCATTCGATTTGGTAACTATACAGTAGGTGAGCACTAGATTTTTCTTTAGTTGCAGGAAGAAGAACACAAAAAATGAGAAAAAACACAGAACCCTTTGTATAATATACAGGCCTGGTTTGAAAACATCATTAAATCTTAAATTACAAGTCTGTAAAGAGGATTCAGCTAATGTTTTTTTCTTATTGAAGCAAATCACACTCAGATATCCTTACACCAATGGGTCAAAGTTGATGGTGTTAATTCCACATGGATATACAGTAAGTTAGAAAGAATATATTAAATATAAATATATTTATGAACAAGTAAAAAGTTTATTCCATGCTGAAAAGAAAGAAAACAAAGTTTTGGCTGTATGTGTTTTCTTTCTTCTCTTTTCAGCATGGAATAAACCTATTTATTCCTATTCCTTTGCAGCCTACGCATGCTGACGCAGCTACCCACCTGAACTAAATATATTTATTATTACTTTAACATACAGTAAGGGGGATTTTACCAGTTACCAATTCAAGATGTTAGAGCTAGGCAATTATATCTCAGAAAACAACATTCCTACTCCAGCAGAGAAAAATGTCCATGAGTTTTCTCTGCGCTTCATTTAGCTCTGTAATATGGGTTCAACAATCAGAGCACGGCCAGGTTAAATGTATCACTTGGAGTAAATAAATCAGAAGAAATGTTAGGAAATCACAGATTTCATTTTTTCATGTAGTATCATTGCTCATGCCTCAGTAAACCCACACTTAAAGAAAAAGCTTTGCTTTACCAGTAATTGCGGTGCTAATAGTAAGAGGTGTACTAAGAACGATTTTGAAAATCATTGGAGGAAAGTCGTACTGTATGCAATCCCATGTGATGCCAGTCAAGAAGCATTAACATTTTTTTCCATTTTTCAAGTTTACAATTATTTTATTTTGCATACATTATTATTTTTTTAATTTTAAAGTAATTTATTTTCATTTTAATTGAAATTGTCAATGTATTAAGCAGGCATTCCTTGTGTGTTTTGGTATCTTTTTATTTTTTTAAGGTTTAAATGACAGCTCTCTGAAATACCACACATTACTTGAGCTTTTTCACCTTTCATGACTTTTAGTCCAGTTTGTTCTCTGGTGTTCAATTCTATGGAGATGCTACATATGGAAAGAGCTGTTGTATATATATTGTATGTATCAAATTTCAGTGATGTATTTGATGGTACATGTGACTGGCTAAATCAATGTATCAGAAGCTATTTTTCACATTTGTATTTGCATTGAGAATTCCTATTAAAAACTGTGTGATTAATATACATTTATTATATATAACAAATATTTCTACTTTCCATTATTTAAAAGCCTCAAGTGTGACAGCTACAAAACTCAGTTCCTTAAAGAAATTGTTTTAAGAAGTAAGGTGTTTATTTTAATGTTTGTATTTTTGGAGGGCATTTTTTTGGTTTGTACCACTGAAAGAAAAACACTCTATACTTCACAGGTTACATCTCAAAACATAAGCTAATTGACATATTTGCTGCATGCTTTAATTCTGAATTAGGTCTTTAACTGAAGCCTTTTCTTATGTATCTGTTTCTTCTATGTTACTGTTAAAATGTACTGTATGTTTTATAAGAACAGCATGCTTTCATTGGAAAATATGCACTGTGTGCCTGGGATATTTTAACAATAAATGCAGCTTACAGCTGCACATTTAATGATAGTCTTTTGCTGTGTAAAATTATTAAATTCAAAATACTTTATATTTAAAATGATGTGATGTATTATGAAGTAAAAACAAACTGCAAACTATAACAGCACCCAGGCATCCTTCAAAAACAATAGATAGGGATATGTGTATTGACAGTAGAATGATATAAGTTCAGATGAGTATTAATGTGGAGTTTGATTTTTTTCTTAATTGGAATGTAGTTTTTCATGTGGATCATTTTCAAAGCCTACTGTTTCATTACACTGTATTTCAATGTTTTCACCATTTAACATATTTTCAACTTAC